ATAGTTCTTTCTTGGTTGGATCCTTTTCTAGTTTTAGAATCAAGGTAATGCTAGCTTCAAGGATGACTTTGGGATTACTCCTTCCCAATGAATTTGAGGAGTATTGGCATTAGGGCTTCTCTATAGCTCTTGTGGAATTCAGGAATAAAATAATCAGGACCTTGGCTTTTCTTAGTTGGTAGGTTTTTTTTGTTTGTTTGTTTAATTATGACTTTCTCAATCTCATTGCCTGATACTGAATTACTCAAGAGTTTTTATGTCTCCTTAATTCAACTTTGGTAGTTTATACATATCTAGGAACCTATTCATTTCTTTTATTTAAATTTTTCAAATTTTAAAGAGAATAAAACCCAACAAATCACAACATAATAAAGCCAATCAAAACGAAGCAGTAAAAGTTGTATAGAACTTTAAAACAGGATAATAGGAAATAAACAATGGATACCATAATATATCTTGCTATCTCACAATAGTTGCCCGTAACATCAGACATAGTGAAGTCAAACAAAACAGAATGAAACCAATCAAAACATAACATTAGATAAAACAAAACAAAACAAAACAGAACAGCTCTTGTGTTTTTTCACAATAGTTGCTCAGGTTACCAGGCACAGGGATAAAACAAAACAGTAAAATGGAAAACATTGGATTTCAAAAACAAGAGAGGAGGAAACGCCCCCACAGTTGACACACTGCACACTGCCATCCTCCAAGTAGGTGCCCAGACCACCAGCCCCAGGCCTGCAAAGTCAACCAAACTACCAACATCAAGCTCCTCCCTTCCCCTCAGTTGCTATCATTTCACCTTTGGTCAGCAGGGCTTGGGGAGGTTTGCTCTTCTGGGTTTTTTGCTCATGCACTGACTGGCTCTGGGAAGCCATGGTTTCTCTTCTGGCTCAAGCTCTTACTAATCAACATAGTGGAGCCTGCTTCACGTGAAGGTGTAGTTTCTGGCTGAGGCCCTTTCTGATCAGCATGGAGGAACTTGCTTCACAGGAAGGCACAGGAACCTATCCATTTCTTCTAAACTCTCCATTTTATTAGAGTATAAGTTCTCAAAGTAGTAATAGCCTTCTGGTTTTCAGCAAAGTCTATTGGTATTTTGCCCTTTTCATTTCTAATTGCATTGTTTTGGGTCTTTTGCTTTTATTGGTAAGATTGGCTAGGAATAGTTTACCTTTTCAAAGAATCATTCTTTGATTGATTCTTTGTAATTTTTTATTTTTATTTTTTTAGTCTCAACTTCAGCAATTTCCACTCTGTTCTTTGTAATTCCCCTTCCTGATTTAGTTTGGATTTGGATTTTTCTTGTTTGGCTAGAACCTTAATGTGCATGATGATGTTACATATTTGGGCTCACTCTTTTTCTGATGTGGGCATTCACAGCTCTGAACTTTTCTCACTGGACTGCTTTCACTATGTTCCACAGCTCCTATTGTTATAATGGCAATATTGTTGTAGGAACTAATTTATTCTTTGTTAATTGATTTGGAGGATATTATTTAATTTCTATGTGTTTGCCTAATTTCTGTTGTATCTTTTGCCATTGATTTCTAGTTTCATTGTACTATTAGGTAATATGCATACACTATTTCATTTTTTTGCATATTTGTAAGAATTCTTTATGGGCTAGCATGTGTTCTATTTTGGAGAAAGTCTCATATACTGCCAAGCATATGTATTCTATTTTTTTGGTGAAACATTTTATAAATATCCATTAAGTCTATTTTTTGAAAGCTTGGTTTAAGTCTGATATTTTGTTGACTTTTAATCTAGTTGAACTATTTGCCACAGTGGAGTATTGAGGTCCCCATTATAATTGTGTTAACTTTTTTAAATGCCAATAGCATTTATTTTATGAAGTTGGGCATACCAATTTTGGTGCATATATGTTAAGAATGATCTTTTCTTGTTGAATTGCTCCCTTACCCAATAAATATATAGAGACCTTCTTTGCCTCTTCTGATCAGTTTTGAAATTCACTTTGAATTAGAAGAGCTACTCCTATTTTTTTATCAGTGCATCAAATAATTGTTCTCCATCCTTTTAATTTTGTATTTGTCTGGATTAAATTTCTTATATACTGCATATCATTGGATTTTTTCTACTCTGCTACTCTGTCTTTTAACTGGGTAACTGAGGCTGTTCACATTCAGTTATTACCAAAAGATACCGACTTATTCCTCTCATCGTATTTTCTTCTTATTGCTGACTTGTCCCCACCCTCTCCTGCTTATCTCCTCACTTTGCCTTGCGTATTCATTGTATTTGATTTTTTGGCATTGTTGGCTCATCTCTTTCTAGGATATTTTTGAGAATTTTTGTTTGATTATTGTCTTAGTTACTTTTTTCATTGCTGAGACAAAATATCAGAGGTCCAAAGTTAAAGGAGAAAAAGTTTATTTCAGTTCAGTTTGAAGGGGTTTCAAAGCAAGGTGGCATGGCAGAGGGGCACTGCAGGACAGAAGACAGGCAACAACAACAGTAAGCAACAAGGGACAAGCCAAGACCAGAACTTTTAAAAAATATTTTTTATTTTAAGGGAGTAAAACAGAACAGTAGAAACAAAACAGTGAAAGGACAGCAGGAAACCCACAATTGTTACTATATTGCATATTGTTATCCTCTAAATAGTTGCTTAGACTACTGGCCCTAGGCCTGCAAAGTCAATCTAACAACATAAATGTCAGGTTACTTCCCTACTTCAGTTATTTATCATCTTGGCCTGTCTCACATCTGGTTGCTCACAGGGGCTCAGTGTGGGTGGTGGAGGCAGATTCCTTGCTGCTTCTCCCCGGCTGGCCGGTGGGGCCTCTGAAGACTGCAGCTTTTTCTCACCCTTATATTTCACACAGGTAGTACTCACATCTTTAATCCTAGCACCACACGGAATCAATCGCATCACATTCTTGATTGTAGCAGCACGAACTCTAGATCCACTCACCTCCAAAAAGTCCCACCTACGGGGCTCTGGGGGAATATCTAGATGCAAACCACAACTGGTTATGCATTCCTTGAGGGACTCTTTGTCATGGAAATATCAAACTTCTCCATTAATTTGCAAAGAAAATTTCTGCAGGATATGAAAGTCTGGGTTGAAAGCTGTTACATTTCAGGTTTGAAACACTTCCCTCCATGCACTCATGGACTTTAAGGTTTGTGTTGAGAACTTGTAACTTTAATGGGTGTTTTGTTGCTTTTCTCCAGTAGCTTTAACCTTCTATCCTTGTGTTGGGCTTCTGGTATTTTGACAATAATGAGATAAGGAAAGGTTCTCTTTTGATGGTTGCTATTTGGGGTTCTGTATGCCTCACTTATTTGTATAATTTTTCCCAATGCTTGGAAAACTTTTTATTATTATTACTGTAAACAGGTTTCCTATCTCTTTTGTGTTCTGAGTTTTTCATTTTTTCACTTAATCAGATTAGTCTTTGTGTCATCAGTATCTGTTGAATCCATTTGTCCTGTTCTTTCATTTTTAAGGTATCTCTGAATATTTGATCTTTAAAAGCATCCCTATCTTCTAAATTGATACTGTCCTTACACTAGTCACTTTTACTGCCCCCCCCCCCCCTTCATTCTGAGACAGTTTTGCTATGTAGTTCATACTGGTCTTGAACTTACTTCGTAGCCAGGCCTCAAACTCAGAGACCTTCCTGCCTCAGCCTCCCAATTGCTGGGATTACAGGTGTGTGCCACCATGCCTGGCTATCTATATTTTCAGTATAATTTTTAATGTTCTGGATTTGTTTGGAATCTTTGACAATAAATTCAGAAATCTACAATTACAGCATAAACCGTAGGACAACCTAATACTGACAGATAGCAAATATCTACTAAATGTAATAACAATATGTCCACTAGTGATACAGAAGAATTCAACAGTAGTAACAGAGCTACCTAACTATAAAAGATTGATAAAACTTAACGGTTATACTAGTAAAGATATAGGGATTTGAGAAAGAGAGAATGCAAACAGAAGAACTTGAAAACTTAAATATGAAAGATAGAGAGAAGAGTGAGCCAAACGATCCCATTACCCATATGGGGTAGAAAAATATTTATAGAAGTAGAAAAGGTAACAGAAAAAAAAAAAAAGATGATAAAAGAAAAATAGGGAAAAATTTAAAAAGGAAATTAAAAAAAAAAAGAAAAAAGAAAAGAGGACTAAGAAAAAGTAGAAAGCAAAGAGCCCAAAAACAGAAAAAAATTTTTGTCTGGATTTTTAAATTTATGAATGGTTTTCTTCTAGGATTTGCAATTCTGGAGTCTGGAAGTCTTGCCTTACAGCTGTGGGTTTGTGAGGTACACTCATTGTTCCAGAGGTCCTTTGTTTACCCAGGCTATAGCACCATCCATGCTGAGACATGCTTTGTTTATGCTGGTGGACAGGGAAGGCAATCAGACCCCATATCTGTGTTGGATGTTGGCAGCAGGGCAGTGACGTAAGTACTTAATGCTGGCAAGCACTTTTCCAACTAGGTGCTTCTGGACACAACTCAAGTCAAACCTGGCTTTTCCCCGTGGGATGTGGAGCCTGTGTCCCTGTCTGTGGCTGTCTTCAGTGGCTCTCACCCAGTCACTGTGGGACACTGGAGCCCTAAAGTGAATTTGTTCTGAGCCCCATATTTCAATAATCATTTTCTCCTGAATTGCTTGATCAAGCATTCCTGAGGCATAGCTGGTGCCTGCGATGTGAAAAGAGCTCCCTAAGATCAAAACCCCATGTGGTTCTGTAGTTCACAAATGCCACTCGTTTGGCTGCTGTTTTTTTGCCAGATCTCCCAGCCTGAGCACTTACCTTGCTTCAGTGGAGCCTGGTTCCCTTCCTGTGAGCTCCAAGAGCTGGAGAGGGAGTCCAGGTTCTCCTGTTTTCTCTGCATTGTGGATTGTTTCTCCCTAGTCCCAGTGAGCTGCTTCTTTTTTTCCTCCTACAGTTGTTCTTTTCTAGTGTCTGGATCTCTGAGAGGCTGAATTTTGCTAACAATCACTCTCCACCATTTCCTTTCTCTCTCTATGGATTTTTTTTTTATTTTATTCTTAATAAACATTAAAATATACAATAAATGTAGAAAAAACTGAGGTTCAAAGTGAGAGGTTAGTACTCACTTTGGTAGCACATATACAAAGTGAGAGGTTAGTATTTACAAAATGATTTCTGGAGAATCCATATCTACACTTTATTTTTTCATACGCTTATACTCTAAGAGCAGTACAATTAGCCTGTTACGCAGGGTTTTAATCTTGTTTGCATAATGTTCCTGAAATAGTTTGTTTAGCTTTTGCCTTAACACATCCAAAGATGGAAGATGTTGACAGTCTGGTATATTCAGCATGGTGTGAAAAAATTCATTCCACGTATCCAGATGAGGGAGCCTGAAAAGACAAGGCATTAATAATGCTCCAAATACATTCTCCAATATGCACAGCAATGCTGCTTCTGCACCTGACTTTCTCATGCTTAATGGGGCAATTGTCACTCAAACTCAACTTAGTACATAAGAATGGTAGAAGTGTCCCTGTCACAAATAAGAGAAACTAAAGGTCTAATAAAGTGTCATTTTAAACACCCCTTCTTCCAAAACTATAGTCTCTTTTCCAGCAGTAGCTCTTTGGTGGAAAATTTTTCAAATTTTTGTTTTCTAAGTCAATCTATCTGAGCTGAGTGTGGCAGTGCATGTCTATAATCCCAGCTACTCAGCAGGGCAAGGCAGGAGGGTCATGAGTTTGAGACCAACCGGGGAACATAGTGAGAACTCATCTCAAAAAAAACCAAAAAAAACCAAAAAACAAACTACCTATTTTTGCCTCACTATCCAGAATGTGATCATCTGGCCACATGGTTCTAAGGAGCCTAACTACATGGGCCAAGACTAGAAGACAGGCTTTACTGCCTGAAAAAGAGTGCAGATTTGAGTTCTGGCCAGTCCAGTGGTTAAACCTGAACCCAGAACTGCAGAACATGGAGAAAAGGCACAACACACTGCAGTTGTGCTCCAGATGGAAATTGAGTCCCTGACATGAAGCTGTGAAGGCCTGGCCCTCAGGCTTTTCTTTACACTGGTGGCCAGAGACCAGAGCTTTCTGCATAATTACCTGGTTCTTCAAGCATGGGCAAGGGAAAGAAAGAAGAACTGCCCAGTTTGATGATGCACTGTGCAGAGAAAAGCATAGTTACAGGCTTTGCTCCAGATATGGAACATATCTTACTTATGCATGTTGGCTCCTGACATTTTATAAAATCACTGCCAACTCTTCCTTTTTCTGTTTTGGGAGGGGCTGGGAAGAGTTTAAATATTTTCAAGAATAAGCATATACTTTCCATTAGGTTGTACACGTAAGATTCTCTTTTTGTGTATGTTTTTATAACTCAAAAAAGTTAAGTATAAAGTATGTAAGCAACATGCATGCAGGGAATATTCAGCTTAAACAAAATCCTGCTAGCGGTGTGTCCATACAACATTACGCTGGGGGAGCCGCCCATACCCATTTTATAGATGAGAAAATAATCTCAGAGAAATGAATATCACACAAAGCTGTGATTCAAAACCCTGACCTGTAACAAGAAGCTGCCTTATACTACTTTGATTTGCAAAGTATACTCATCTACATTATTTCCTTTGCTTCTTATAAGAAGGAAAACAGTGCTATTCCCATTTACGTAAGAAAACAAATAAGCAAGCAAAATCCTGAAGCTCAGTGACATTAGAAGAAAGGGTAACTTAACAGGCCAAGAAAAAGTTTGAATTTACAGGATGGCACCCACCCAACCAGGAGCTTACAGTGGCTCTAGGATGCTATCACATGCATCTTATTTGTAAGTGGGGAAACAGAAGCAGTGTGCTGAAGGCACAGGTTTTTATGGGTGGCAAAGACAGTTTATGCACCAGATAGAACCTTCCATTCTCCTGTATTTGTTCTCTTTTCACTGTGGCATTGATGCTAATGCTCACCTTCTAAAAATGCCCTCAGGCTTCCAGACTCCTCCCTCATTTTTCACTTTCATGTAAGTGCCAAAAAGCATGCAGTACACTGTTGCAGCAACACCAAAGTAATCAACCTGTTGAGAAAGCATAAGTGTGTTGTTTAAAGGGTGATTTACATGTGAGTATGTTAAGATGCACCAAGCTAAGTAATCACAGATTTACTTGTAAAGAATGCTGCAAGTCCACTGTTACACCCCCCCAAATGTCTATCCAGGCTCTGCCTGAGGTGTCCATGGGAGCAGACCACCAGTGCTCCTGAGGTAGCCCCTCGGAGCCCCTGATTCTTAGCTAGTGTCCTTCTCCACTTCTCTGTTCTGCCTCACAGAGGCAAACATAACACTTGAATCCCTAGATTGAGAGCTGACTGCCCCCCTGCCTCTCTGGCTATGTGAAACAGTCTAACTCCAGCATGGTCCAAATCTGCAGGACAGCAAGCTCTCTACCTCTGTTCTTTCTACCTGCCACCCAAGACCTGCTAGACCTGCAGTCAGCAGCCTCAGGCCACAGCTGGGCTGCATACTAAAAATAAGACTACTAAAAATAAGGCTCCTGCCATTGCCTTCTTCACCATCGGCTCCTGTTGGCTGTGTTTTCCAAGTTCAAAATCATACATTTATGCTAATCAGAATTATCTTTACTTGTCCTATAATACTCTAATTTGTTGAAAATTCCAAAACCTCTCCTTAGAATAATAATGACCCATTTCGAATACCTTTTGGATCAGGCACTTATCCAGAGGAACTTAACTATGCCATCAACTAGTCAAACCTACCTCCTTGTCTGCATCAGCAGCAGAGTCCCTGCAGGGCGCTGACCCCCTGTCCTGGAGCTGGCACAGTGGGCCTCCCTGTTAACTCTGGCCACAGAGGAGCCAGCTAGGCTGCTTTCATCTTGGTAGACCAAGCTGGTTCCTTACAGCATGACTTCCTTTTCAAAATTCACAAACCATGATTTCCCTTAAAGTGAAACTCATAGAATACATCTGCTTTCTTTCTCTGATAACAGAATCTGCAAATAAGTGCCAAAAAAGCAGAATTTCATCTTCTTCCTCAGCCTTAAGTTCCATCTCTCCTTCAACTGCTGCTCAAGAGGACAATTTCAACTAACTAGATTCATTTTGAAAATCTAGTAAGTGCAAGAAGGAAAATGTTTTTAGTTCTCTTGTTTTAGTTCCTTACCTGGTAGTTCCATGGTTTATTACTGAGCATCTCGATACACTGAAAACCAGATGTTTCACACCGTGCTGTAAATGTAGTTCCTTTTGGAAAAAGTTTCATATCTATACTCTGACCCAGGTCAATCAGTGCCAAGCCAGCAGCTAAATCGTCATCTTCATCATCCTGCTCCAAAAATCTAAAACACAAACAAGGGCTAGGACACAGGAGTACAGGTAAAAGGGAAATGGTAAGGGAGGAACCATCAGAAACGTCACACTTGCCTATTTCCCAGTATGAAATTGTCTGGCTTAATGTCTCCATGAATGATTTCACAGCTGTGGACTTGTTCAATCATGAAGAGTATTCTGAGAGCAAAGGCAATGACGAGAGCTTGAGGCATCACTTTTTCAGGGGTATTTTTATAGAGGTTAATGGCATTCTAGAAACAATGCAAATAGTATCCTGAGTTGGTTGTGGAGAGTGATGAAATTTCAAGTCAAGGGCTTTGCCCTTGCCTATCATCCCTACAAAGTTTCCTGCAATGAGATCTGTGCAAAGATGCAAATCAGAAATGCACTTCAAACACATGTTCATATGAAAATGAAACACTTACTAATAATGTTCCGTAGCTATAGAGATCGCCCACTAAAATGCTACCATTTTGAAATAAATGGGCAGAATAGAATTTGATAAACATGTGCCGCGCAGTTGGCTTTAATCTCTCCATCAGCTGGGTCCCAATGTAGAATTCCCAGGGGCTGGCAGGCTTCTGCACCTGCAAATCAAATCAGGCATGTGATGTCACAACCAGTCTCACACTGAGGCCAACAGTAACAAGAAAGCAACCTCCACGTCAACAGAGGACAGAGGGGAGAAAGCAGTGTCAAACACGGAGCTGTTCTGAAGGGAGTGGCTGCAAGATAATTTTATTGGCAAGGCAGTTATGAATCCCCGTAAGATAAATTTTACTTCTTAATTGCTGACTATAGACTTCAAAGAAAACATCACAGTCTTAAAACTAGAAAAACGAAAAGGGGCTGACAAATTCAAGCTGTAAATTCATTTCTACCCTATACGAAAAGCTACTCCAGTCATGTACCTTTAAAACGCACTTCTGTTTATTTTTGGGATCATTCATATCTCCGTGGGTAGCTTCGTAGACTTGAGCAAAGGCACCTGTTCCAAGAAGCTGACTGACGTAGACCAGCACAGAACCTTGGAAGACAAAGGTATCAAAATGACAAACAGGCTCAAAACATAAGGACTTATTCAGAATGAAGGATTTTAAGAACTTTCTTGGCACGTGAATTGCTTTAATAAATAAAAATGGATGTACTCTCTTGGAAATGTTTTCCCAGATGCAGGTAAAAGTGAAGCAAATACCTGCCCCAAGAGAGCTTCCTTAGCAAGTTTTCTGCAATAAAGGGGCAAGAATAGCTCTGATGGCCCAGGTCACTTAGGAGGTCACTTGTCTCCTCCTTTGCAAGGCTCTCATGTTTAAAATTCGCTGTCTGCTCAGCATGACTACAGAGATGTCAGAAAGAACATATGGAAATCCCTGGAAAATGATGTGCTTTACAGTAAAACAAAAGCAAAACATAACTATCAATAATTTTATAGTAATTTAAAATGTTTATCAACTTGTTTCAGAAGTTTTTGATTTATACAAAAGTTACAAAACAGTAGAGATTCTGCATATTCTATATCCAGTTTCTTCTACTGTGAATTTTTTATAACCATGGTATCTGTGTCATAAGAACCACAGAGCTATGTAACTATTAACTAAAATTCACACTTCATTCAGATTTCATTGATTTTCCTCATAATGTTCTATTTAGTCATTGTGTTTCTTTAGCTGCTGCTGGGCTACAATAGTTTCTTAGACTACTCTTGTTTTTTATGACTTTGATGGATCCAATGAGTTTGGTCAGGTATGTTATAAAATGTTCCTCAAATCGGGTTCATTTTATGTTGTTCTATGGTTCCACTGGGTTTATTGGTCTTGGGGAGAAAGACCATAAAGGTGAAGTTGTAACAGATTCTTAAACTAAAAAAATTAAAAAGAATTTACATATTCAAAATCATGTATGTATAGTTTCTAGTGTGGCATTAAGGAACTTTAAAGTTCTTACTCTTTGCTCACAGTAAGAAAAAAGCTAAGGACTACCAATCAACTCTTAGATTCATTAGAAAACTGAGGTCACAGGCAAACTGCTGCCCACAAATGGAGAGGAAGACAGGAAGACACAGAAAATGACAGCCTGCTACAGCATAAATCACTGCTGAAACAGTAATAAGGACACTGCTGTGGGAAGGACTGCATGTCTCAAACTTTATTTAAGAAGTCTCCAGAGAAACTCAAAGATAACAGGGGAAACTAAACAGCTTAACCCCTTGCCAGACAAGAATAAGGTTTACCATAAGGCCTATTTCTCCTAGTTCCAGTACATCAGGTCTGGGTAGAAGCAACCAAGATAATCTTTAGTAAGTGACTGTATAAATAAAGTATATGATACATCCATATAATGGAACATCCAGTGATTAAAAAGTCACAATGTCACAAAAAGACACAGAGAACCTTTAATGCATATTGCTAATTGCAAGCCTGATAAATTAGAAAATGGCTTGATTCTAAAGGTGCAATAGCCTGGGAAAGATAAAACTGTAGAGAGTAAAAGCATCTGTGGTTGCCAGGGGTTGTAGTATACGTGGGGTGGGGATAAATAGGTGTGGAACAGGGGATTTTTAAGGCAGTGAAACTATTCTATATAGTATGACAAAGAAGAATACATGTCACACATCTGTTTAACATATCAACTCCACAGAATGTATACATGTAGTACCCCACATACACTGTGGACTGTAAGAAGAATGTGTCAGTCCCAGCTCATCAATCACAATAAACAGCACATTCATGCAGGATGCTCATAGTGGAATTTGTGTGTGTGTCTGTCGGGTAGATATTAGAAACTCTCTACTTTCCTCTCAATTTTTCTTTCAGCCTAAAGCTGCTCTATAAAAACAAAGTCTATGAATTAAAAATAAAAGTATATTGTGAAAACTCTCACTCTTATCATTATGTATATCCATCTGGTTTTCCACTCCCATTACATGAACTGTTTTAAAAAGCTGAGTATCCTTTAAGCGTCCTCCAGAAATACTTGCAAATAATATATGTATCATTATTTTTTTTTGAAGAAACAGAGAGTTAGCATGTGATACATAATTTTCTGCCCTTTGCATTTAGTAGTATATCTTGGAGATCATTTCCCCATAACTAAAGAATAAGTTTCCTTGTTCTAATAACAGTGCCTATATTTTTCTATAAATTCTTAAAAGTGAATGGTTAGCTGGATGTGGTAGCACACTCCTATAATCCCAGCACTTAGGAAGTGGAGGCAGGAGGATCGTTCCAAGTTTGAGACCAGCCTGGGTTACAAAGTAAGCCCAAGGTCAATGTGAACTGCATAGTGAGACCCTGTCTCAAAAAGACAGGAGGGACTAGGGATTTAGCTCAGTGGCATAAGCGCCTGCCTTGCAAGCAGGCAGTCATGAGTTCAATCGCTGGTACCGATAAAAAAAAAAAAATTTGTTTAAAAAAAGTGAATGGTTAGGTCCAAGAGTTTATGCAATTTTCATTTTGATAGCTCTTGCTAAATTGTCCTTTACAAGTTAAATACATTCTTGTCCCAACAACAATCATAAGCTTACAGTCATGGCTTGACAAAATTTCTACACCTAATTCTGCAGCTGTAATTACTGAAGGGGAAGGGGAGAATCTCACATGCACACGAGTCACCATGAACTTCCTATACAAAAACAAGAATGTAAAGTTTTGTTACCCATATAACTCTTACCCAGCTGAAATTCAGTCTTGGGCTTGATGGCTGGAAGTCTACATTGCCATTCAAACATATTTGGGTAGGAACTCACTGGTTTAGAAAGCCCAGATAACAGCTTGAGAATCAATTCCTCATCCCATGGGTTTTCAATAGTGAAGTCTTGAATGAATGAGAGGAAAAAGGAAACATAAATTCAAGGATTTTATCCAAGAAAGTTTAGATAAAACAAGTGGAGACATTCATTAAGTAAGACTTATCCTTTACAGAGCACTGATTCGAGTAACAAAGGACTATTTTCAAAAAGTCTAAATCAGTAGTAGCTCATTGTCATTTTAAATCTACAAGTTTAGGTCAATTTTCTGCTGTAACAAAAGAATCAAGGCCTCATTCACTCACTTGGAACCGCTAGATCCTGCCCTGGCACCGGAAGGGCTGCAGTCCCGAAGGCATAACTGATGCTACCTGCTTCTAACGTGCTCAGACAGACACATGCTCCTCAACTGCTTTTCTACTCATCTTGAAAAGACGCACTCTGGGCAACAATTTCTAAGGGAAGACACAGTTTTCTCTCCAATGTAGTTCTATAAAATCTCTTCCAGCAGCAGTTATGAAGGTCTAAGCCACCATGGTTACCTGCTACTTAGGGCTGAGCCTGTGCACAACACTGTTCTGAGTATTTCACATTCATTAACTCAGTTGGTTCTTACAATGAGCCTCTAAGGTAGGTACAGCATAACTTCCACTTTACAGAAAAGGAAAAAGAAAACTCAAGTAATCTTGGTCAAAACCATATGACTACTTAGGTGGAGGAGGTAGGATCTGAACAGTCTTATGACCTAGCTAGTCTATCTCCAGTCTGTGCTCTCAACTACTGTGCATTACTGGTCCCGTGTCCTGAGGGGCAGGGAAGTGTCTCTCTAACCTCAGGCCTCAGCTGACTTTTTTTTCAAATGGGGAAAACTGTGTTAGTTAAATGTGTGGCACATGGAAGGCCCTCAAATTCCAACTCTCTCTTCCAACAGTTATCCCATATCTTCTAAAATTAAAATGGATTGATTTCCCTTCAAGCCTACTGCTACTTAATTGTATTGTGATGTTGTTAGGAGTTTGTCTGAACTTGCATCCTAATCAGTGACATTCAAGGTCCCATTCTGAGTTCTCTTGCAGCAAAGCTTTTCCCACACTACTGTCTTCATGGTACAGCTCAGATTGAGCATCTGCACATACCTGGAGCTTTGACATTCCTAAGTGAGCAGGGCTGCATCCGCTCTGTGTGGAGTTCAGCGCTAGCCTCCACAGCAGCGGGGTCAGTGTCTGTGAGTTTATAACCCTCAAGGCCCTGTGCAGCTTCCTGGGTGAGCACACCACCTGCAGCAGGCTGGCTCAGATGCTGCAGGGATGCTGAAGATAGGTCCGTCAGGAGTGCTTGTTTTGGGCTTTCCTCTTGAATTGGACTAGATGTGTGAGAAGCATAGAGAAAATAATAACTACATGTGAGGAGAATCCTAGAGGACTAGATTACAAGAAAGTTCTACAAAAGTTTCCTTTTCACTTGAGGAATGACATTTAAAATGGCCTCACAGGCTAAGAGTTGCTTCAATCATTTTCTTTAGGCAAACATATAACTAGTGTGACAGAAGTAAAATCAACAACATAATATGTTAAGATAAATAGGTGTGGGTGATACACTGGGTATTCTTTAACAAGACATGACAGGAGGAATAATGGGTTTTTATACCCAAGCTGAATTTAAGCAGCAGCTCTATAATCAAGGCTGGATACTTAAATTCATTTTAAAAATGGCTTCTTTTATAACATTGAGACAAACAGAAAATGGCAACCACAATCCAACGATTCTGATACAGTTCCATGTACATGGGTATACATACACACACACACAGAGAAATGTATGCATGCCTATGTACACACGTGGAGTTGACCCTCATTCATGGCTTTCATATTTGTGAATTCACTTATAGCTAAAATGTATTGGAAACTCCCAAATCAATGTGCATGTAATTTTGGTGTCATTTGCAGAATTGAAGAGCGATAAAAACTTGAGTCACCAACATACTCCTAGCTCGGGTCAAACATAGTGACACTAGGTTTTAGCGCTCAACTCTCAGATGTTCTCATGTGGTACAATAACATTTTGAAGAACTGTATTCTTGTGCTTTTTATCAGTGATTTCCCTGTTAGAATAGCCCCATGTGTAGCACCTTTTACTGTTCTTAAGTGCAAAAAAGCCATGATGTGCCCCATGGGGAAAGTACTACTATGTCAGCTAAGCTTTAGATAGAGGAGTCATAGTCTTGTTGGTTATGAATTCAATGTTAATGTGTCAGCACTACATATTGAATAAGGTGTCTTTAAACAAAAATGTTGTGACCAGAGGCCCAAGGGCTGTGTATTTCATAAAACATATGTACAGAGAACACGAATTGTATATTACACATCTCTACACATATACCCCATCAATATCCATATATGCACAAATATATGATTATCCATATTAGTTCATACACTGCTATTTCTATTTTTGTCATAAACGTTTTTCTTATTGTGAACTAAAACAAATTTTTTTAGTTAAAATAGTTCTAGACTTTTACTATTAACTCTAGGTCACTTGGATTTCTTGGTATTTCCACCACTACCTTCTTCTGCTTCAGGATCCAGTTCTGAACACACATTGCATTTAGTTCTCCTGTCTCCTCTTTCTCACCTATGAAAACTTCCTGGTCTTAGAGTTATGGTCTAGATCTAAAATGTCCTCCAAAAGGCTCATGTGCTCACGGGTGAGGTTTCTGAAAGGTGACTGAATCATGAGCAGCCTAATTTCATCAGTTCGCTCACTGATGAATTCGAATTTGATGGCATTACTGGGGACTGATGGAAAGTTAGGAGGCAGGCTCTAGCTGAAGAGAGCAAGCAGTCCATGGGAAGTGTGTGCTTGGGGACGATATAGTGCTCCCTGCTCTTTCTTCTCTGGACTCTCTCTGTCTCTTTCTCTCTGTTTCTTGGCCACCACGAGGTAAGCAGCCTCCTCCTGCCACGGCAATGTTTCTGCTTTACCTGCCATCCAAAGTAATGGAGCCAGTGGACCATGGGTTGACCTAATTTCATGACACCACAGTAGTTTTAAGGCTTTCTGGATTTCTCTGATGTTTCTATCATGGCTAGAATGGCGTTAATGGTTTCTGGGAAGAACATCTCAACAGTGCAGTGCCTTCTCACTGTATGATACTAGCATGCATTCTCATACTTGCGGTGCTGTTAAAGTTGATCATTCAGAAAGGGTGCTCTCTGCCAGGTTTCTTCATATTCCTACCAGGACTTTAATAACTACACACAATTTAATCCAGCAGATGTACAACTCTGTCTTTCTGAGATATTGAACATATTTCCAATGTTTTATAACAAAATAGGTATTAGGGGTATCCACACACACTGAGGAAAACTGTTTCCAAGCCTTTATGCATTGCTACTTAGTAACATGAGTGCCTAGAGTACTGTTGATACATAAATGATTAATGAAGCTTTTTCCTTTCTCTTTGAGAATGTGAATTTGTTAACTTTCTACTCCCTTCCCCTTGAAAACCTGCAAAGACAGAGGATCACTGAGCTTGATTTTCTGCTTATAAACCTCACAGGTAATCCGGGTCTGGGGTAGAATTACAAATACCTGCTTGGATACTCACTGCTTCAAGCTCTTTTGAGTGTGATTATTTCCGTAATGGGCCTGTCCCTTGTGGACACTATAGAAGCTAAATCCAGGAACATGCTGTAGGGGTCACTGACTCCCACAGGAAAAGGACTTTCAGCTGAGCAAAATTGCTGCATCTAGCTTGTGTGAGTTTTGTTTCCTTACAACTGAACTGCAGAGATCAAAGATAATAGTTCCAGGACAGAGTGTACCGCTGGCAATTGTGAGTTTTTTTCTATATGCTTCTAAGTTAATCTTATGCCAAGGGCAGTCTTGTGAGTCAAGTTTGGCGGGACTTAGGAAGACTGGAGGAGGCAGCAGAACTCACCATGCTGTAATGCCTTCTGTTATCAAAACCCTCTCACTGAACTAAGATAAGACCCAACTAAAAAAGTGATTGGCTAAAAGACATGAATGGAATTTATGTGGAAAAATAATGAATAAGCATGTAGAAAACAAAATAACTAACCAATAATTAAATTAAACAGATTTTGCTTTTTAACTAAAGTTGTACCCAATGAGGTTTTGATAGCAAGAGGCAGTACAGTAGGGTGGTGAGAACACCATTGGTAGGAAAATGGATGCAACTTAAGACCATAATGTTAAATTCATGTAAAATAAATCAGGCGTACAAGCATAAATAGTACATAGATTTTCTTATATGAGAAATCCAAAGTATAAATAAAGAGCAAAATAAAAGATAATAGGAAAGAGATATATCTTTTGTAAATGGAAAGGAGACCAAGAGATGGAGGCAAGGGATATAAAGTTAGAAAAGAGATTAAAATGTATTATGTGCATGTACCAACTCCCCAGAATGAATGTAATCATTATGTTCAGCAAATGTGCTAATAAAAATAAAGACAAAAAAGTGATGAATACCACTGCCAAGTACCACCCATGCAAAGGCAGACTCAGAAGTACTGTGGTTCTCATCCATCTTATTCACTGAATGTGGTACCACATAGCTCGTGACTCTTCCCCAATGTCAAAATGACAAGGAAAGGTAAATGTTTTTAATCAATTCAGGACACAGAAGCAGCCAAAACAGTGCAACTGAAGACACTGATGAAAGAGGACTTCTAAGAACAGCTTCAGAAAATGGCAAGAAAAATGGAATAAGTATGTTGAAATTGAAGGAGAGTATTTTGAGGGGGATTAATGTCAATGTGTCTTTTATTGTCATAAAATTTATTTTATTTAAGCACTGTATTTTTGATCAAATCTTGTAAAGTAGCAAGTATGTTTGCTGAGTTGTGCACTAGTCTTTGGTAATATGATTTGCAGTTCCATCTTGAAGTTAGTGGCACTCAGTTGCAGAAAATATTCTGCACAGATTCTCTCATCCCCAGTGCTTCTGTCAGTGTCTAATATATTAAGTGCTGGGCTCTTTACTCTTTATATTCACAGACAGAACCATAAAACCCTTCATCCTTTAGAGTTGAATCTGGGTCTTCTACACATCTTTAAAAGCAAAGCTCAAAGGAGAGTGGAGAGAATGACACAACACACAGTACCTGAACTTCTTCTCTTTCAAGGGTTTCACCACGTTTTCTTTACAGGAATCCACAGCCATAGGGGTGCACTGTGCTGCTACCACATTTTCTGAAGTACACAAAAATTAGAGACAGCTACATTACGTGCACTTGTGCACACACATACCCTTTGACCAGGTCACTTACAAAGCCTGGGATTCCTTTTATACTAATTTTTATTATGTTCAGAATAGTGTTCTTATAAAAAGTGCTATACGATTGAAGAAAAATTGGGAAAAATTCACTTAAGAAAGTCTCCTATTAGTCTCCTATATGAGCATTTTAACTCTCTGCATCTAATTCACAATGATCTTTAAGACAAGAAGGTTCTGGAGGCAGGTCCCTGTCGACAGGCTGCCCCGATCACAGGAGGACACTGGCACAGGCCGCAGGACACACTCGGTTTCAGGAGACTGCGATGAGGAAGGACATGGAGAGTGACAGCGTGACATTTCCAGAGAGTAGATCTTTGTGTCTGCCAGTTTGACAGATTTTACTGAATCAGTGAGCATTTAATTGATTGAAATGATTTAAATATTGGCAATATCTACCCACTGTTTGCTTTAACTTAAAATATATATCTAATGATATCAGGACCAAAATATATACAAACCATCTACCAAGCGATGTGACTACTATACCCAGCAGATTATTACTGCATAAAATTTGATCAGTTACTCACTGAACAGGGCTTGATACGGGTTAGTACTAGAACATGAGCTTCTGCATACACAACTAGAGTGGCAAATACTGTATGAACAGTCAATAACGACTTCAGTTTTTCTCAATGGAAAAGTTTTAAATATTTTTATTCAAGTGGTACTTTATGATGGTACTTAATAATTCAAGTTTCAATTAAATTGTCTTCTAAGATTTACAAAAGAAAAATAACATACTGGGGTAGTACTCTAAGAAAACACCCTTTTTTCTTAGTCAAAAACATTGAGGACTACATACAGGCTGGCTAATAATTTTATTACAAGATGCTTCTATCTAGTGAAGTGACATTTTTTGATGTTTTTTTCATGTATGCTTTGGTGAACAACTGTTATTTAAAAAAAAAAAAATACCAACTGGGATACAGTTTGGCTGATAAAGTAGCAGTCATCAAAATGGTAAAGTGGTCCCAGACTGCATATATTTTGCATATTTTGTAGGTTGGTAATCTGTGGTCAATGCAATGTCACATATTAGGGTTCAAGTTAGATAAAAATCTTTTATATAGAGGTGTTATATTTGGGGTGAACTGGAAATAAGAAATGTTTGTGAGCTTTACCATTATTATAAGTCAGATCATTAACAAAAAAAAAATCACAATTTTCTGTGTGTAGTATACTTGGCTACATGACTAAGACAAAATTTGTTGACACATGTAGGACTAAGTTTTGGTATTTGTTATTCATTAAATTAGGAAAATGTTATTTTTTAATATTCAAATAATTTAATCTGTAGTGGCCTGTTTTAAAAATATAACCTAAATATACTACTATTTAAATGACTTGGACTTTATATACTTGTCTTTAAATGGTCCTGTAGGAGCCAGGCATAGTAATACACACCTATAACCCTAGCACTTGGGAGCTGAAGCAGGAGGATTACTGTGAATTTGAGGCTAGTCTGGGATACACAGTAAGTTCAAGGCCAGTTGGAACTACATAGTGAAACCTTATCTCAAAAAAAAAAAAAAAAAAAACTCTATGTAAATTATTAAACTCTTAAATACAGACAGTATGGATTTTAAGCTTCTTTATAATTCTCAAACTTTCTTTTCTCTTTAGAATTACCAAGAAGAGAACTCTACATCAGATTCTTTTTTTTTTTTTTTTTGGTACTGAGAACTGAATCACGACCTCATGTCTGCCAGGCAGGTACTGTGCCTCTGAAGTACATACATTCCTGGCCCAAGAAGAGAACTGTAATGTGTTTTAAAATATAGAGGTTCACAGAAAGCATGCTACAACAAAGTAACAGATACCTTTATCTTCCAGAATGTACACTGAATCTGCTGGAAGTTTGTGGAATGGTGTAGATGCCAGCTGGGCAGCAGATGTGAAGTCTCCTATGCTCTTTGGACAGGGTGCCAGGGTTTTATTGTAGCGAATACCCCATACCGTTGAATCGTCTAAAAACTCTTCACCGTTAGGCTGAGGCACTTCCTGTAACACAGGGTGAGCTATAACAAAGCAGCAATCTTTGTGTTTTGTCCATGAAATTTAGTACATCAACACCTTAAGATTAAGCTGAGAATAACAGTACAGGCCTGTGGTCCCAGTTATTCAGGAGGCTGAGGCACAAGGCTTGCATGAGCCTAGTAGCTCAGGACTAGCCTGAGCAACATAGTGAGACCTTATCTCGAAAATAACAAACCAGAAAAACATTTTCATGGTTTTTAAAAAAAAATAGAATTAAAAAAAAAAAAACCAAGTTTTCATCTTTAACACAGTTCAGTGGAGCCAAATTGTGACAAGGGTCACATTTTTGATTTTCAGTTTCTACAGGTTTTTTTAAATTTGAAAAAAAAAAAAAAAGGTCTAGATTTATAGAAGGGTTACAAAGAAGTATAGAACTCTCATACCCTTTACTAGGCTTGCTCTAAAGTCAACCTTGTTTACAATGCTGTACATTTGTAAAAACTAAACAATACTAGTAACTATAGGCTCTATTTGGACTAACCCTCATGACATTTGGGGGACATACGCAACCAACATAACCCATTACTCACTAGTGAGGATGACTCAATCATTTGATTAGATATATGCAGCTTCCCTACTGGAAACTATTCTTCTTTTCCTTACTCTATTTGTTAGAAACAAGTCACCAAATCTTGCCTACACACAATAAAAGTGAATTAAACTCCACCTTCTAGAGAGACATCATCAAAGAATTCATGGGTAGATGCTAAATCAACACAGTAACTAATAATTTTGGTGAGATACTTGGAAGCTATGCAAATACTTTGTTTGTACATTTCCCTTACTAATGTTAGTATCCATGGATTTCATCTGCACAGTTATTACTGTGGGGTTCTAAAGGTGATTTTCTACTGCCACTTATCCCTTCTACATCATTTTGAATCCTTCTATAAGGAAGATTTATCCTTTCCCTACTTTTATTTATATCAATATGGATAGTTATTTTACTTCCTGGGTTAAAATCTAATATTCCTTTATTCTGTTTTTTTTTTTGTTTGTTTGAATTGTTCCAGTTTCAGTCCTTGGCTTTTTCACGTTTGCTCCTATGTTCTTTTGCAGTGTCCAACTTTTATCTTTTAGAAAAAATAAAACCCCAAACCACTTCCTTAATTTCTCAAACAAGATGCTCTAGTTTTTTTTTTTTTTTTTTTTTTTTAATTTTTATGGTTTTTTAAAAAAATTTAGAATCTGACATTTCTCCATGAACATAATTATAGGTCAAGTTTTGAAGTGTAGGCAAAGACAGAAACTGCTGAGTCAGAACCATACATGGTACACCTCTTCAGTTGTCCTTGAAATGTCATGCTTGATTTTATATATTTTATATTACCTTCATACATTCTACATCTCTTCCAAGATTGGAAGAAAAACTGGCTGGTTATTTCTTCAGGTGGATGCAGGATAAAACACTGCCTTATATAAATATACAGAAAAAGCATTGTGATTTTCTTGGTCAGAGCATTTATAGTGGAATAGTTCAGTAACAGTACCTTCAAAGTGATGGCATGTTATCTGAAATCTAGTCCACTATTCGGGCAATTTTTAAGATCAAATGGTTCTGAGAAGAATTACAGAGCTGGGCAATAGTTTATTCCAAAGAATCCATGATGGCTTTAAAAGCAGGGGACAGGGTTCAGCAGTTTCTCAGCAAGAGTGACTGGTGATACTAGTTCCTCTTGCTAGTTCCTCGCAGCCCGAGGGCCAGGTGGTAGATAGAGGAAAAGCACACCATGAGGAATGCGGGAGCCTGGATGGAAGCCAAACCTGAGCTGAACTCATGGCTGCTATACTAGAATTCTGTGGGCCAGCAAATGGGGGGAGCTTGTATGCTGATGACTGGCCGTTTTAACTTGATTCTCACTATTATTTCACTGTAGGCCTTGCTTCCTAGGTGTAGGAAATACACACATTTATCCAGGTGGTTCCTTGTAGCCAGTCTGTCTGACACATGACAGACATTCAAATGATTGTTGAGTAATGTTGGATAAAGACATACATTCTTCACATAACATTGTATTTCCCAGCCTAGTTTTATATCATCATACATTATGATTGGCATAATCAGTTGGTAAAACAAGCAAGAAAGGGTGGGAGACTCATTTCACAGATTAGAAAGAGAGACTTGCTTACATTTGGTTTTGAAGGAAATGCACTGACAGAGCGTTCCCCAAAGGTCCTGGTCCCTATGGGCTTATTTTTAGGCTGTGGTAATCTAAGGAAAGATTTGGAAAATTATAAATATTAAAATACATTAAATAAATGCTGTCACTTGTGTCAAAAAAAATTCCCCGCTTATCCTAATGAGTTGATAGTTTTATAGATTCTTTACTTTTATAAAAGTTCTACCAAAACAGTAACAATTCAATTAACTATGTAAGTATAAATTGATTACTTATTGAGGGTAGAAAACATTTGTTATGCTGAATTTCCAGCATTAGGAGCAAAGAATTAGGAGCATGGCCAGTAGAATGCCATACAACATTTTATTTCTTATTCCTAGTGTCTATCATAGTGAATTTCTTTTATGCTTTGTCTATACTTTACACTGACACTTCCTCTTCCATGGTTTAAATTAGTAACAGTGACAACTCTAGAACTACCCTCCTTTGCCGTGGGATGTGGCTCTGGACTGTAGTGTCCCACCACCTTAAAACACATTCTCTCTGCAGCAATATTCAACATGAGACTCCTTTTTCTACCTTATTAGAGAAGAGCACATATAGATACCTGTCCTGGTACATTCATCCCCATTTAATACAATTTCAAATTCACAGACTCTCTCAGTTCTCTGACAACTTGTAGTAAACCACAATTTTCCCTTTCAGTTCTGCTTTACTTCGGAGGTCTGCCCTCTTGGAACTCTGGCAGAGGAATACAGACATGAGAACTCTGGCAACAAGCTCCTGGCCAACTGGTCAGAAGCTCACAGGTGGCGGAGTGGGACTGGCGCTCAGCCCATCTGGTTCATGTTTCCCCCTTCTCCGCCCCACTGCCCTGAGTTCTGCAGACATTTCTGCAGTGTGCTGCGACACTGTGACAACGTCTGTCCCTTCTAATGTTATTTTAACTATGTTCCTTTACCCATAATTTTCTTTGTTTCCATCTTCAAAAATAGGAAAACCAGAAGGCAAAGAGACAATCTTATTGACTCCCCAAGCCTCAGAGGAACTTGTGTTTTCTACAAGAAAATAAAAAAATAGCATTTTGTTATTATCCTAGAAAAGAACATTATCCTTTAAGCTAAACTGCAACTGCAAATAAGGGAAAGAAATAATAGCTTATAGAAAAGAACTGAGATGAGTTTTTAAAACACTAGTGTGACAAGTCACTTTGCAGTGAGATGAAGTGACTTAGCCATGCTCACTGGGTCCAGCACTCTGGCCCCCAGCGTTCTCATCATGTATACAGAACTGTGTTTGCCATTCTCCTGTGACATTACATTTGTCACTTGACTATGTCTTTCAATTCTGTTAAAAAAAAATTAATCTCTTAGTTTTATATTTCTAGTCCTCCCATGTCTAACCTTTTTCATAATATCTGGTTCCCAGCATGAATCCCATCATTCCAGACAAGTGGACTAGATGCTGGCCTCCAACACTTTCCCTTGGCACCTCTCTATCAGGATGGACTCCAGACATACCTTGAGTATTCAAGCCCTCTGGGCTATTCCTAACTATGGGATTTACAAAAGCACTTAACTGCAATAATAATAATAATAGTAATAATAATAATAAAACAAGAAAAGCCAAATCTATCATGTACATTGTAACCATGTCAAACCATCACATTTCTATTTCATGCAACCCTTGCTCTTATACGATGGGCTGATCAAGGGCACAATCGCGATCTTACATAATCCTTCTTAATGCCAGTGGCAACCTCCCACAATGCTGTGTACTCAATAGCTTTTAAATAATGAATAATTACTTTGAAACTGGGCTTCAAATGCATTTTCATTTTCATCTAGAGTTGGCCATTCATCTTTGTCACCAGAAATATCAGGAAGTGCAGGAGCTTGAAACATATTCATGATAAAACCTTAAAGAACAGAAGAAAAATCCTTGTCAACAATACTTGTGGGAAAGAGCTTCTGTTAATTTGTTGCAGCCACTGCACGTCTAGGAAAAGCTTTACCCAAGGCTTCCTTCGTGTGCACAGTGGGTGATGGCTGCACTTTGGATGGTGTTGCCTGAGCCGTTCCCAGGGAGGTGTTTGGAGTAGTGTGAAAAGAACTTGTGCTAGTGACCTTCTGTGCATCACATCCTAGTAGAGGAAGAGGACAAAACAGCATCAGCAGCCAAAGCAGAACATGTTAGATGGGACACAAGAGCAGTAATTTATTAAGTTCTACCTGCCACCATCAAGAATTATCATGAAAGGTTTCCATTATTGTATTTCAGACCTCTCTTTGTAAGAATACTAGGAAGTAGGGGAATGCAAGATTTACCCTTCTGCAAAAAAGTAAATGAAGATTCAAACAGATTATGTGCTTGGGCTGCGCATACCCCAAGGGAGCAGCTTTGTCATCAACAGCACCCTTAGTTCCACTGATTCCTAAGTACTACCTGCTCACAGTCACAGTATAAATCTTTTACTCCCTCTCATACTATAAATCTTAAGGCCACTTTCTGTCACAGCTAGAGCCAGACACTGGTGTGTAAGGCCTGCACACCCTGGCCTTGTTTGCTGAGGTCTTAGCTCTTTCTTCCTCTTCCTCCTCCAGGTCATTCCGCAGCACTGGCCTCTGCTGTCCTTTGAATGTACCAGGTGTGTATCTGCTGTAGGGGTCTGGGCTCGATATCCCCTCTTCTGAAAGCAGGTTCCCAAGGTGGCACGCCCTCCTAAGGCCCTTTATTCAAATATCATATTTTCAATATCTTTCTCACTTACCTTCTTTAAAATTTTAACCCTCCCACCCCAAGAATAACATTTCCTTCCGGTAAGGATTTTCATCCTTTTTGTTCATGACTGCATCTCTAACTACTTAGACTACCCAGTGTGCAGTCAGTAAGACTTGGTTTCATGAATGAGTCTCTGTGGTTTAAACAGGACTGTTTCTGAACTGCCAGGGGATGGGATGTCGTAGTCATGGAGTAGGAGTAATGCCCAACTATGCCTTACACAATGTATAAAACTTATGTCCTACACAAACATACCAAATGGGAATATAATAATACCACTGCTAATTAAATGTCATATCAATGTTCCTATCTATTTTTTTTTTGGTACCGGGGATGAACTCACGACCTCACACTTGGCAGGTAGGTGCTTATACTGCTGAGCTAAATCCCCAGTCCTGTTCCCACTGTTTTACCAAGATGACTCTCTTTCATTTGAAGTGGTCAGGGATTTATGTATCTCCCCACTAGGAAGAGGAAGGTAGCACTTAAGTTTAATAAGGTCTGGAATCTTCCTACACCACAGCCACAGTCACAGTACGGGCTCTGAACAACCCACAAGTTTGCCAAGTAGGATGCGATGAAGTTATTATGGTGAAACAGTACCTTTCCCTCTCTCAGCTTCACTTTGTGGCTTGAGTTGATGAGAATTTAGACTCATACATCTGGAAGAAAAAGCTCTTGAGATACACTGAAGAATAAAAATGCTTTGCATGTTAAAAATTTTAACTTTCAAGAAGCAATAGAAAAATAAATTAGTAAACAATTATATGACTTTTGTTAAAATACAGATGCAGATCCTTAGGTCCATGATGTAAACGAAACACTTTTTTAAAAAAAGTAAGCTGAAGTGAATAAAGAGAAAACCAAGCTTCTGGCACATATCAGACATAGTCATGTTAATTTCTTTTTCTATTTACATTAAAAATACAAATTTAACCATAAGGACTTTGGGTCTTCATTGTTCTATTTCTTTTTCATCTCTCTGTGATGCAATCTAAATGTGATAAAATTATATATTGTCTTTGTTCCTAATATAGTTTGGATATTATCACATATATCACATATTTATATAAAAATACTTTTATATTAAAAGTAAAAAAAAATAAGTGACGCGCTATTAAGTATAATTTCTGAAACCTGAAAAATTCCTCCAAATTGGAAGGAAACCTTCATAGCAGTGTGGAGGCAGAATGATCCCAAACTGCTCCCACGGGAGGACAGAAGGACTACAAAGACACAGGTCAAGTAACTGTGTGGATAGCAACCACGCCTGCAGGACTCAGAGTGAGATGAAGCACAGCCTACAGCTGTTCATCTTCCAGGACCAGATAATCTGTAGAGTTTCAGAGAATCAAAAACTTCTAACTTAAGAGAGAAGTACAAATTAAAACAAGTATTTGAAAAGAAGCATAGAATAAGTAAGTCTAAAAGATTTGGTGCCAGTTTTTTGATAATGGTTTTTCAACAACATATTCATTCCCATTTAAAAAAAAAATAAATAAAAAATAAAATTTATTTAAAAAATCTGGAATCCTCTATCTTTTACATATTGCTCTTGGTAGATCATGCAAAGGGCCAATAGATGCATTCACATCACTGTCACCCAGGACCATCTTCAGCTTACCTGGGGTCTGTCACTGGCTGGGCTGTGAAGGGAAAAGGAGGAACTTCACTCTGGGTGATGGCTGGGGAAGCCAGAGCAGCATGTGCCATAGGAGGAGTGACAGGAGGCAGAGGTGTTTCTCTGAGCTTCTCTCCCAAGTTGTTTGAGGTCTGCTGATTGGTGGCTGGAAGATACGGAGCTTTTTGTTCCTGCTGGGAGTCTACACTTGGCCCTGTATGTGCTGGATTAGCCTTTCATGTCAAGTAAACAAACAAACACAAAACCATAAGGTCAAGAACATTACCAAATAGACATTAGAGCTTTTCAAAGCATGGTATCTAGATTCCATCCCTTATTCCTTCAGATATTTATTTAAAAATGCACCATTAGCAACAAAAAACTACTTTACATGATAGATGCTTTGCAGCTTCTGTACCAGACTCTGCTAGGGGCTTATACTTTTAACCACTGAAAAATCACCAGCCCCTACAGCTGTGCCGGTGTTTAAGGAATGCTTTATTTCTTTTCACTTAATTTTGGGTAAAGATAAAAAAATCAAGGTTATAAGTGCTCACAATGGTGTTTTACTAAAGTATCCTTGTTTATCCCTGTCTCTTTAATGACTAGGAGACATGTATACAAACTATCACAAAAGCATGGTTCACAGTTGGAAGCATAACTGTTTCAACTTAAAATGCTTTTGTGTAAGTGAATACTCTAATGCCACAAACTGAAGACTGAAGAATTAATTCCTTACCATATAAAAGTATTCCTACAAAATTTTAAGAAAAACATTAAGTATCTAGTAAGAGTATCATTTTATAGACAAATGGACAAATAGAGGGACTTTAGGGAATGGGACTGGAGGAAAGTAGTGGGTAAGAGAAGGCAGAAGGAAGTGTGGACATGATCAAGGATTGGTATATACATATATGGAAATGTCCTGGTAGAGTCCAATAACTTGTACAATTAATACATATTAATAAAAAATGATCTATACCGTTCACTCACGTACCAAATTAGTAAAGATTAAAAATAATCACAATAAAATCAATTATTACTTATCTGAAATGTTCAGGATTAGAAATGTTTTAAATTTCAGAATTTTTCACATTTTTGTAATATTTGCAGATTTATCCATGGAAAAAGATTTTATAATATTTCAGAATTTTGGATTAGGGATGCCCAACTTCTACCAAATTCTTGAGAAATATTTTAAAACGTAATCTGAGATTTTTCTCTATATTAAAATGTACACAAAAACTTTAATAAATACACAATATTAAATGGTCAAGAAGAGTTCTAGTGACCAAAGCAAAAACTCAGATAATTTAGAAATGGATTTTGTACATACTAGCACATGGTATTTTAAATCAACAAGGAAAGGCTGGACAGTATAATAATCCACTTGGAAAATGTATTCTCTTTAATGTATACATGTATACAAACTATCCCAAAAGCATGCTTTATAATTGGAAGCCTAACTGTTTCAACTAAAAATGCTTTTGTGTAAATGAACATTCTAATGCCACAAACTATATGCAGTCATGCATATAGGATTTTCATGAAGAAGGCTCTGGATAAAGACAGTGGTTTAAGAATTTGCTGTATCATCTCTTCCTCCCCAAACGTCACAAAATGGCATAGCAGAAACAGCTGGTAGAGGAGGATAGGGGTTGTGGGTCTCTCGTCTTAGAAGTTCAGAAATCTGCAGTACTAGAAAAATCTCAGAATGGAAATGAGGAAAGGGCTGAAAATATGGATGTGGTAAAAGCAAGTGTGTTGAAAAACTAGATTCTGAGATTCATTCTTATTGGTAAACATGGAGAGGGATCCTTGTGCCCCATTTGTCAGAGATTAGAGGTTTCCTTTTTCTTAAAGAAATACTCCAGAGAATTCTGGACTGGGGCTGAGGGTGAAGCAATAGATACAAAATGAGAAACAAAAGGACTGAGTCAGTTTATTTACCAAAGAGTGAGACCTCTAGTCCCTAAGTGCTGGCAGCTCAGGTTTATACTCTAACCCAAAGATGATACTCTTAGGAATCTTTCTGCCCAAAACAGACATCCTCTCTCCCCAATCTCTCCTCACCTGTAGCTTTTAACCAGCTTTCTCAGATCTACTTTCGTATGAGAAAACAGTATTGATCATCACATACCTCACAACAAGCTTCTGATACAAAGGACAGTGATACACACAAACAAACATATGAGTGAGAGATTAAGAGTCGAGATAGAAAGAAAAAAATATTAACATCCTCAAACTAAGAGGCAAGACATTACATTCACAGAATAAGAATAGGAAGCCATGAAAGTAAGCATTCATAATTAAAAGTAACTTGGTCTGAAAATGAAATAGAATAAAATAAAAGGGTGAAAAGGGTCAAAAGAAGCTGGGTCTATCTCTTAGAAAAACGGGTGTGTGTGTGTGTGTGTGTGTGTGAGGATGGACAGAAAAAAGATTAAAGGAAAAAGGTAAAGAAGGTTAAGAAAGTCAGATGATTAGTCAAGATAGTCTAATAAAGAACATATATGGAGAAAATTTATCAAAACAAACAAACAGCCACCAAGAAAATTCCCTAGAGCTGCTGGACTGCAATGACCAAGTAATGAGTGCAGTGGAGGGAAGCTCGGCACTAAACACATCATCATTTGTCACAGCATGGGTACACAGATGCTACACACTTACAGAGAACAGTGACTGCCACAGTAATAAAACCAAGAACCAGAATGATTGTCAACCCAACAGTATAGCCAAAAAAACAATGAGGCAGTGTCTTTGAAGATTAGGAGGAAGGTATTTCCTTCATAGGATGTAATTCTAGCCAAATTACCAACCAAGTGTGAGGGTAGGATAAGATGCTAGTAGACATGAGAGAGATGACTCATTGAATGTAATGACAGGATATTTTTAGTTTTCTCACAAAGTGGGGATAAATGAGTGGTAAGTATCAAGAAAAAGAAAGCAATGAGACAATTGTACAGGGAAGACATAAATTATCCAAGAAAAGACATTCAAATAAGAAAAAATAAGACAACTCTAGAAAAACTGATAATTCATCGAAGTCAATTTAAAGAGTTTGTCTCTATCTGTCCTAGCCATGAATGTAGTGAACAACTCTGTTAGGTGGCTGACAATATTTAAGCCATACCGTGAGATCTACGATTACTGCACTATTTTTATGGCTACTACTTTCTCAACCAAACTATATCCCCGTAGGTACTTTTTATTAAAATATCTTAAATAGATAACTGTATTCAACTGTCCACTCTGTATTCATGGTACAAAAACCAGAAACAAGACCTACTATGCTAGTAGGTGAGTATACACATGTGCACGCATACACATACCTGAAAATACGAGCCACTCTGCTCTCTAAATTTTCTTGCTTGTTCTGTAATTTGAAAGTTTTTCTGTGTCAAGTTATTTTAAAAATTTGGAAAGTGACTGGGAATTACCTCCAAACACAAAGCTCCGCTGGGCACAGGCTGTGCGGGTGAAGAGCACACACGCACCTCAGTGCTTTCCTGGAGGGTGGGCACATGCTCATGGGAGAGCTCCACCACTTGATGCAGCTTCCGGTGGAGTTCATCCACTTTCTGCCGTAGCAGCTGCTCTTCAAAAGCATTTGCTTCTTTTCTTTTCACATAGTATCTGTCTTCATTTCCTTTAGGAAAGATTAACAAAATGGCTTGTACATGAACTTAAATCCAGGACCTTAGAGGAAAATGTGCCAAGTGAATAAAAGGTATTTTCACTGTTTATTGGCTTTCAGACTTGAAACTTGTATTATCTTTCAATTATACTCTTTGCTTGCCCTCAGCATAGTTATTAAGTTCAGAGCAAATAAACTACAAAAATGTACATGGTGATGAACATAATACTTGGAAATAGCAAATATAATACTACACCTTTTGATAACACAATCATTACTGTGTTCGTCATTTTAAAATGACTTTTTAGAAAATGGAATTCTCTAGGTGCTTTCTAAGAAGTAAAATAAAAGTGTACATAGAGCCAGTCCTACTTCCACTAACTGGCTCCCCTGGCCATACTGCAGACAAATCAGGACTGGGTGGACTTCAGGTTTCAGCATGTGAAAGGTACCATTACCCATGCACTACCCAACATGAGTCCTCTTTCAACCAGGCATGGTGGCTCGTGTCAGTAACCCCAGAAACTGGGAGGCTGAGGCAAGAGGAATGCCATGAGTTCAAGGCCAGCCTGGGATATACTGCGAGACTCTGTATCAAAAACCCAAATCCAAAAATATCGATACCCAAATGGGTCCTTTTTGAGTGTTAATTGACTTTTCTTTCTGCTGTTGACCAAAAAAGTAATGAACAAAGAAACGCTCACAGATGCACAGTTCAATTAACGTAGATGACATAAAAGCCCTACATGGGACAGAGGTTCACCTTCCTTTCCCTGAGGTGCATGTTGTTATAGCAAAAATGTGCAAACACTGATGCTGTGGCATACATTTTTCTCTGGGAGGAACAAAACTCAGTTCATTCTGTAGCCATAAATGATGTGGCACTTTGATCAGAGGACCTCTGATTATATTTTGTTTGTAGTAGGTACAGAATTTGGAAAATATCTGAGATTTTTCAGTTCACAACCTAATCCCTTCACAGTACAAGTAAGAGACATACAGGTTTAGAATTATTATCTATAGAAGTTCAAACCCACACTTAAAAACCTAAAAATGTCTTATTTCATTAAAGATATGGTAATACTGGTATGGGTATCTATTTAGTGCTGTTTCAACCATAAGCTCTACTATCAGTACCTGGACTTGGTGCTTGGGAAGGCACGGCTGCCATGCTAGCATGGAACAAAGGAGCCTGGGTCTCGAAAGAGTGAGCGGGAGATGGTTTTTCCTGAGTCAGCAGAGTCAGTTCTTCATACCAATATGTAATTACTCATTATGTGAACCAACATAAAAATAACTGAAAATGTAATACTGCAAGTACCGCATTGTTCACGTTTCCTCCGTTGGTTGTATTTCTGGGCTCTCAGTTCTTCAAAGGAAAATTCAGAGTCTCCACAAACAAGTTTCTCCTTGCAGTACATAATGACTTGTTGGACATCAGATTTTGCTGCCGAAGACGAGTGTGTGGAGTATTCTGATTTAGAAATCATGATCACCCTTTGTTCCCTACAGGGGAAAATACATCATTTACTCAGTATACTGCAGGAACTCTGAAGGATACAAATAACGGAGCAATGCACTGATTATACTTGCGTATTTGACTCTTTAGCAGAAGCTGAAGGAACCCTTCTAGAACATTCTGAACCCTAAAAGACAAAACAAATACGAGCATTTAGTAACTGAAAAGTAATCTTCATCTACATTACTTCATGAATTAGTATGAAAATGTTCAAGAGCTTTTAAAGGGGCCTATTAAACTTTCTTAAGCCCAATAAGAAAGCAATTTTTTTAAAAATTAAAATTTTATTTCAGTATTATTGTAACCTTGGGAGTTCTCAATATTACCATAGTATTCAATCACTAAACAAGTATTCACTGAACATTTCACACATGTCATACAAACAGCTAGCTTTGAGGAATATGACCATCAGTGAGACCCATCTCTTCTGACTACCAGCTTAGTCAGGGAGTGCAGGAATAAGTAGGGAGGCTGGCATGCATGTGCTCAATGAAAATCAAGAAAGTCTGCACTGTCTATCAAAATGAGAAATGCGCCAGGCGTGGTGGTGCACACTTGTTATCCGCAGGGTGCACTTGTCATCTCAGGTGTGCACTTGGGAGGGTCAGGCAGAAGGACTGCAAGTTCAAGACCAGCTTAGGCAATTTAGTAAGATTCTAACAAAAGAAAAAGCAGCCTGGGTGTAGTTAGAGGTAACAGACTTGCCTAGCATGAGTGTAATGCACAGGGTAATATTAATTCCACTTTTGGAGAAGTGTTATATTAATAAAATAGAACATCTCCATTAAATTAAAATTCAAGGAGGTCCTTGGTGAGCTGCGGAGGGAAAAGAAGCTGGGAAACATGAGGTGGAAGAGAGAAGAGACAAGCATTTTCGTATGTTGACAAGCTACCAGGAAGAAAAGCTTTTGGTAGGGGAAAAACATCTCTATGAGGGTGAAGGACAGGCATATGAAAAGGCTATGGTTTCCTACTGGAATGGCAGGGAATGATGCAGTATTTATTGATGGATGACAGAAAATTAGTAGATATCATCTGATGATTTCTGCTCCTTTGCCAAAATAGTGCAGTACTTTTTCCAGCTTATGAGAGTGAAATTAGAGGTAGATAGTTACCAAGTTGGAGGACAGGAAAAGGAAACTTAAAATTATTCTAAGCTAGCATATAAAAAGAATGACAGGGAAGACATTAAAGACACATACATACAAAGGCTGATCTGGGACACTGGAAACACAGTTGCCTGGCAGTGTCAGAGCCCTGGTTGCAGCTCAGGGACTTTGAGGCAGGACTCAGATCCAAGGAAGATTCTGAGTCTGGGTCTAGGAAAGAGCCCAGCAGAACAGGGAGGAGAAGGCATCAGCAGGACAGGAGTTGTTGGGAAGGAAGTGAAGACAGGAGTTGCATGGTAGGGGCCCTAGGCCCAATAACAAATTACATTGCAGTTGAGCATAGGAAGATAACAGCAGGCCCAGAAAGCTGCCATGGGAACAGGTGGCTCCGGATTAGTAACAAGGTCAAAGAAACAGTGCTGCAGATACCGAAGGCAGCCAGGATGGTGTTTAGTACCATTCCTAGTTTCTAGATAGCCTACAAACACTGTTACCTGTTTTCTAGTACAGGCTGAGTTCTTTCCTGGACTTGATTTTGACGTTACCATTTGGTTTAAGATCTGAGCATTATGCAGAGGTTCTGAGGTTCTAGCTATGAGAACAAAGAAGATAAAATTACAAATAAGGAAAAATCATAAAGTGATTACATCAATACATTCTCTTGATCTTTCAATAAATATCATAAAAAAATCAATATATTTACAAAACCTCACAAAACAACTAAAACTATCTTTTAAGAAAAATGAGATCATTTTATGACTATTTTAAAATGTTCAAGGAAATACCAGAAAGAAATGTAAAGCCAAACTATTTTAAGCAGGCCAGGATAGCCAAAGCTTATTGACAAAATAGGACCTTTATTTCTATGAAAAATAAAAGGCCATGATTTCCTAAAAGTTGTATTAAAGACATCTCATTCAGTTCACAACACATGGATCCTATATTTTGGGCAAACTTGATTTTTTAAAAAAAATTCCCCAAATATGGTAAAATCAAGATTTGCTTGTTGGTTTTCTCTTTTAAAGTCCTAAAACGAATTCCTACTATGCAGGGTTATTTAGAGGGCATTATTGTTATTGTTGTTGTTTGAGTGCCTTTCTATTACCTGAGAAACAATGCAACTTGTAAATCCTAGATGGATGTGACTCCTTTTTAAAAAAAGTTAGTACATGTTTGCAGTTCATAATGATTGTTGTGGGGTGTTGATATAGGTGTATAATAGATGGGTTTGATTTCTAATGGAAAAAAATTAGAGACTAAATTATCAACAATTTAGAAATTTTAGAAAGTATTAGTTTACCTTGATCTGGCAAATGGGTTTCAGTGAGGCGTGTCTGAAATAACCTAATGATAGTAGAAAAGGAATCAGAACAGATTTTAAATTTATAGTTTAACATATGTGTATCTTAAGGTAGAAACCTTATATACATAGGCAGTTTACTGTAATTTAATAAAGCCTGTAATTGAGAGAGAAGGTAACACTGAATTTCAGAATTGGTTCAAAATTAAAACATGAACTTCCTGCAATATTCTTATATCCAATATATTTATTCTCCCTTTCACTTAATTATGTCAGTATTTTTCAAATTCACACAAAAGTTCCTTTCTCCATGTACTGAATCTGCAAATATTATAACACAGGTGTTAAATTTGCTTATACCTTAGGTATTTTATGTATGTAGAACAAAATGAAAATAATGATTGGAAGAAAAGTTTAAAAGTACAAAATTTAAGATCACTGCTTCAAAATATTGTCATTCATGCTCTGTGAGAATGTCTCAAACATGTCATTTCACGCCACTTTTACATATCAACTGTACTTGTCAGATAATGTATAACTCCCAAGCCCAACATTTTGAGTAATGCAAATAAGAGTGTATCTTATAAAGGCATGTACAGCAAAATGCTAACACTTGTTTTGCTCTTAATTCTAACAACCCAATGGTAATGATATCATTTTACAGATAGGGAAAGACTGAAAATCACATAATATTAAACAATTCTTAACTTTTTTAGGTTTGATTATAGGATAAAATTCTTTTTTTGTTTTTGTTTTTTGAGACACAGTCTTGCTGTGTTGTTTAGATGGGCCTTGAGCTCACTTTGTAGCCCAGGATTGCCAGAAACTTTCAACGATCCTCCTGCCTCAGGCTCCTAAGTGCTAGGATGATAGGCATATGCTACCATGCCTGGTTTACTATGGAGTAAAATCCTGTAAGAAATAATCTTTTGGAGATGGTAGTGTTTGGACTAAAATATTTTGCCGTTTTAGGTTTGCTTTAACTTATTTATCATAGAAAAAAATCAAATACTAATAGTTATTAAAAGCAGATGATACAGAAATGGAGGTTTGTTATGCTAATTTTTCATATATGTTCAAAAATTCTCATAACAAAATTTTTAAAGCACAAGCACTACAACAAAGTTGAAAAAAGGATTATTATATATTATATCATATATCATATTATATTATATTATATTATATTATATTATATATTAAATGCTGGCAAAGGGTGCAAAGGCTTATAGGCCTCTGGTTCTGCAGAGAAGACAGTGAAAAGCTGGGGCAGGCTTTGAATAAGTGATTTAGTTATGTGCACCACAAAGCTTAAAACTCTTTACATACCCTTTGGTGCAATAGCTACAATTTTGCAATTCTATCAGAACTAGATAAAAAATAGAAAATATATTAAAAATACTTTTATGAAAAAAGAGAAAAGATCTTAATACAGAACTGTTTATACAGCATGCTGTAAAGCATGCTTTACAATCCTGTAACAAAAAGAACAAAACAAAGCCAATGAAAATGCAGAGGTTGCAAGTGCTTGTTTAATTTTCTGTATTTTAAAAATTTCCTAAGTGAGGTGTATTTAATCAGAGAAAAAAGTTAAAGATGGTGAATGAAGGGTATTCATCATGATATTCATTGTTTGCTATGGTTTGAATGACTCCACCCCACCTCGTGTTGAATTGAATCTCCAGTGTGCAGTAGTGAGAGGTGGAACCTGTAAGAGGTTAGGCATGAGAGCTCTGCCTTTCTGAGCGGGCTGGTCTGTTCATGGATTAGTGGGTTTATCTCCAGAGGGCCTGTTACAGACACTAGCTGGCTCTGTCTCTCACCATGTGAAGTCCCATGCTCCCTGGAGACTCTGGAGAGTCGCCACCAGCAAGAAGGCCTCCACCTTGATCCCTTAACCTTGGACCTCCCAGCCTATATAACTAAGCTGAACAAATTTTTATTCTTTATAAATTATTCAGTCTATGGTGTTCAATTAGAATAACGGAAAGCAGGTTAAGATAATGTTTTTCTTTATACAAACCAAAATATTATAAACAACTTAAATGTCTAACTGGAGAATGGTTAAATTACAACATGACTCTGTGATAGTTTTCACAAGCAACTTAAAAGTAACTTAAAAGTTCATAATTTCTAAGAGCAGCAGAAAGCTCAGTATGTATAACGAGACATGCACTATTATTTAACTGCTAGGAAATATAAACACAAGGACATACACGGGCACTGGCAAAGCTACTGAAAAGAAACGCACTGACATGCTGAATTGAGGGTAGTATTTCTAGGTAGCTTCCTTACACTACTCTGCACTGACCACATTTTCCACAACAAGGATTTCCCCATGAAAATAGATAACAATACAATTTTTTCGAGCAAATGCTCCATTTCAAAGTAGGAAACACCATAAAGGACTACCTGTACTGCTGCTGCAACAGCTCTCTAGGTTCAGCCTGGTTTTGAATTCCTCTCCGAAAAATGGCACTGGCCTGCTGTAATTGTCCTTGGGCTTCCAGGTGCCCTGCCCAGGATATGTATAGAGGAGACGACTGGGTTCCGATCCCTTGGTTATACAGAAATTCAAAAAACTGATGAAGATCACTGTTGAACTCAGCCTATAGGAACCCAGAGCACACACATGGAAGAACAACAATGAGGCAGGGTGGAGGGAGGCTGGTTAACAGGTACAGGGTACAACTGGATAGGGAACAATATCTACTTTCCGTACAAAAATAGGGTAACTGAGTGATAATTTTATATTTCAGTATAGGTAGTACAGAGGATTTTGAATGTTTTTAACATAAAAATAAATGTCTAAGGTGATAGATATGCCAATTGTCCCTGAATGATCATTACACCTTGCATACAGGTATGAAAATATCACCTGATACCCCATAAATATGTACAGTTATTATGCCAATTATAAATAAGTAAATATGTGAAGAAAAATAAAAAGATATAGAACAATAGAACTGCTAAATTTAATCTGGCCTGTACGCAGTCAGCCTCCAACATTAATGAGGTTCAAGGATGAATGGCAAACTACAGGTTAGATTCATTCCTTTCCTTCACATTTGATCACTCTCAAATTAACTTTCTATTTCCCAAGATAGTGAGGGTTACCACCACCCATCAGATGATGCATTATTTTGTCTTTATCTAAGCTTACTCAAGTTCCACAGGGTGCTGCTATTTGTAGAATTTATTTTCATGAATAAGTTCCTATTTACCCTACCTACTCCATGTATGATTTTGTTACTCATACCTTCACATCTTTATTCCAGATTAAAGATTTCAGTATTTAAAACCTAAGGCTGCCTTCTCCTTATAGTACTAAATCCAGTTTTTGAGAATGAAAATTTTCATTACTGTACTTGCAATGAATTTATTTTACTCCCAGAAATCATCTTAGCACCTGAGAATGTCTGCTTATGCTCCCTCCCCCATGGATACATCCAACACAATAAATTTTTTTAACTTTTTTGTTTCTATTTAATGTTAGAACAATTATACCCTTGAAATAAAGAGGAGTTTTTTTTTTTTAAGTCAAATTATCAGCTCCATAACACAAAAGATAAGGCTCCAAAAGCACACATCTCTGGCCCTACAACTTTTTAAAATTTTTGACTAGAAATAAACAATTCAAATAAAAGACAATTTAAAATCATCTTAAAATCTAGAGAAAAAAGCAATTGTACAATATGATTATAGACTTGATTATCATCTGAAAGTATACTCACAAATTTTAGACAATAATTGATGAATCTTGGGTCATTGTGGTATCTCTTCTTATCTAAAAATTCCTTCATTAAATGTTCTAATAACATTACCAAGTAATCTTTATTGTCAGGAAAATTCTCTTCTACCCACTGTATGTAACTAGAAAAAAATAGCAGTGTTAATTTTTCATGGGTGGCATATAGTTGGAATAAAGGAAAAAAATGAAAACAACTGAATGCTAACCTTTCCCATTCACCAAGCGGGTCACTGCCCTTGTAGCTCTGCATATGGGTTTCAAACATTCTAGAAGAAAGAAAGTGCACATGGGATATTAGAGATAATTCCTAAGAGTAAAAGCTATTTCATCATGTATATCTATATCATCATATATTATAGATTTCATTTTTGAATAGAAATCTTAAACAGCAACATAAATGATATATAAAATTAAAAAAAAAAATTCACTCAGAAGTAGTCAGAAACTCAGAAGCAGTCAGTGTTTCTCCACAACGAGTTTCCTTCCCTCTTTGTGTTTCTTTCTGTCCCAGGGTCACTATCACCCTGGGGCAGAGATTTGCTGCTCCTTCTGTAGCAGTGCTATTAGGGTGTAGCCCTGCTCAAACTCTTCCCAGGACAGAGGCAGGACTGCACAGACCCAAAGGGGGCTTGTGAGTGAGTTTAGTTGCCTGGGTACTAAAACTTGGGAGATTCCAGATACAGTTTGCTTCCTGGACTCCAGTGTCACACACTGTCCCTGAAGAAGAGCATATGGCAGAAGTATGTATAAACTAACCAGTCCCTAGAGCTCCCAGAGGATCATTTCCCTTATTCACACAAATCTAAGTACAGATTTATGAGGGGTGACATCCGCCCAGCGTGAAAAAGCCACACAGCTATGTCGAGTAAGCAATTAAGGCTCAGAGAACTTTAGGGACCTGTCTCTTCCATGAACAAAGAAAGAACCATGGCTTAAGTGTGACAGCATGGGAAGCTGAGGTAGTAAATTCTAGTTTGCATTTTAAAAAATGTGCATTCATTCTTCCAAGAATAGGTGGTGGTGGTGGCAACAGAAGTGGGAACCAGTCAGGAAGCTACTGCAAAGGCCCAGTGACTGGTGAGTTAGAGTAGGCTGGGGTAGTACCTGTGTGTAATCTGGCACATGTGTGAGAGAAAGAGAGAATGTGCTTACCAAAGGGTCTGTATTCTAGGTATGAGAAGCAAGTTGAGAAAGATAATTAAGTTTTCTATCTGAGAAATTGTAAGTTGTTAAATGGGAATTTAAAAGCAATCCCTTTGTAGGTGATTTCTTTGGCATATTTTTAATTGATTGTTCAGAGAAACTGCAACTCTGAGAAGCTATTCTTCTATAAAGGAAATTTGTATCAACCCACATTAGTGAAGTAAAAAGTAGACTTTCTCTGAGGCTTGCTTATCTGGCCCTTTTCTTTTTGTCTTTTATTTTAATATATCTGTGAGTTTCCACATAAATTTTTTTTTGCCTTTTATCTTACTTTATGGTCAGTTTATTCAAGACTCAATTAAGTAACTTGGAAAACTCTTAAACTACACTATCTTCTAGCATATGTTTCCGTATACAAATGAAACCAGTGTTCCTTCTGACTCAAAGTTCAGAAGCCACAATAGAAAAAAACTGCATAAAAATTAACCATAGCTGGGCATGGTGGCACATGTGTATAATCACAGTACTTGGAAGGCTGAGTGCAGGAGAATCTCCTTCAGTTTGAGGCTAACCTGGCCAGTGGTGAATTGAAGGCCAGCCTAAATTATATATAAGACCTTGTATCAAAGAATTCCCTCATACCACCAAAATCAACTATAATATATGTAATAAAAAGCTTCTACATGTCAAATATGCAAAACAAATTTGAGAACTGACAAGCAGAGTTGGAAGAAAACTGAGGTAATGAAAGGATTTCTAGAAATTGAGAAAGAAATGTACATATCAACCCAATTTTGAAAAAAGAACTGAAGGCATTAAAAAAAAAAAAGGATTTCACAGAGAAATATAAATGATTCCTAAACTTGAACAGATGTTCAGCCTAATAAAACTCAACTCAGTGAGATATGACCTCTTATCCAACAGATTAGCAAAACAAAAAAGAAAAAAAAAAGAATAAATAAATAAACACAGGTCACAAGAATATATATGTAAGCAATGATAAGCCAGGGTTTTCATATCTTGCAGATAAGAAGGTGCCTAAAATCAGCCAAGGGAACTGGCAGTACAGTATTCCCCCCTTATCTAGACTGCTACTGGATGCTTGAAATCATGGATAGTACTAAACCATATCCATACTGTGCTTTTTATATATTATATATATGTATATTCATAAAAAGGTTTGATTTACAAATTATACATATGTACTGTAGTGTAATTTACAAATTAGGTACCATTAGAGATTAATACCAATAATTAATAATAAAATAGAACAATTTAAGCTTTTCTTTGGATGGTATCTTTTCTCCTTAATCATCTGCAACTGCTGGAAATACGGCAGCAGTTTCTTCAGCAAATGCAATCTCTCCAATTAGTCTTTGTAGTTTTCAGCCAAAATAATTTCTGAATCTCTGTAATCAACTCTTACTTGTAGTAAATGGCTTCCTGTCAGTTATTTCAGGGGAGCCCTAGTTGAAGTTTTCCTACGGGCCCACTGCTTGCTGGTATAACACACTGAGGTCAACTGGAACACTTTTTCTGTTCATGTATTCCACCCTCAAATTTAATTTACTTCCTAGATAAGTACTCAATACACGATAACTATAACCCTTATAGTCTGAAGTATGACAGCAAAACTTGCACAAATTTATTTCTGCTTCCTTCACAATTTCATAGATAGATTCATTCTTACCACAGAGCTCAGCAAGCTCAGCATACAATTATTTTTCTTTCCATATTCACTGAAGGACTTTTATTCACCTTTTCAAACATTATGGATTCTTTGAAGCATATCTGAATTGCCAGTAATACCACTCTTGTGCTTTGGAACCATTATTTAGTAAAATAAGGTATACTTGAACACAAGCACTGCAGATACCATAACAAGACAGATCTGCTACCTAATGCTACTGAGTGTCTAGTGGGCAGGCAGCTGTACAATTTGAAGAGATAGGACAAAGAATGACTTACTTCCCAGCAGGGATGGAGCAGTATAGGAAGGTGCAAGATTTCCTGAAGCTACTCAAAATGGCACATAACTTAAAATTCACAATTTGTTTATTTATGGAATTTTTCATTTAAAATGTTTGGATCATAGTTGGTTACAAATTACTAAAATCATGGAAAGTGAAACTGTGGGTAAGAGGGGACTACTATATTTACCAAAGTCACAGATGGATTTGGGAATCCAGAAAACAGATACAACTGTGTATATACAAAATGCCAGATGCACATTTTGTTCCTTGTCATAATACTATTTGCAATAGCAAAAGATTAGCATCAACTGATAGAGGACTATTTAGATCAATACGGTACATGAAATATTATGCAGTTGTAACAACAATAATAAAAAAGTTCCATGAAGGGGCTTTCTTTTTTTTGTTTCTTTCTTTTTTCTTTTGAGACAAGGTCTCACTGTGAGCCCATGGTGGCTTCAATATTGAGATTCTCCTACCTCAACTTCCTAAGTGTTAGGATTTCAGGTGTGTTCCATTATGTTTTTTTCACAGAAATCTCCAAGATACTGTTAGGCAAAAACAGCAGTGTTGCTGTGTTATATTTTATATGAGATGAAGAAGATACATATTTTTTTGGAAAATATATTTTTCAATATATATTTATATAATATTTTTATATCTATATATTTTATATTTTTCCAAAAATATATTTTGGATGTATATATTTTTTCCAAAAAGAAATATTTTTTATATATTTTTTCCCCAAAAAGAAACACCTGAAAAACAAACTAGAAAAAATTATATACGATGGGGCCAGAGAAGACAAGTATGAGTTCTAGAAATACTTTTCTAAATGTTTTAAAAATAACATATATATATATATATTTTTTTTTTCTTTTTCTTGGTACGGGGGTGGGGGTCGAACTCACAATTGCCTGCTTGCAAGGCAGGCGCTTATGCCGCTGAGCTAAATCCCCAGCCCCAACATATATTATTTTTAAAATTTAAAAGTAACTGCTTGTAAATTGAATCTCTTTTTTCTCTTAAGAGGAAAAAAACTTTCTCCTAAAATATGTTTAATATACATAGAATATTTGCTCAGGGTACACATTTCATGTTCTCACACCAACCATATTCCACAGAAAAATGGTTTAAATATTAAATACCGGGTTCACCAGGAAAATTTGCTTTTTGCAGGCCAAAATTAGGTCAGAAATGTCTTATTTCCCTTTATAAGTGTGTATGGGGAGGGGGATGGGGGGTGTAAAAAGATTCCAAAGAGAATACTTTATTGAAGCTACGGGGAAAAGAAAGTAATAACAATCTTAGCCCTCTGATCATAAAAGGACTGATGAAACGAACACGTAATTTTACTTTCAGCCACTTGTAATTTAAGCGTTTTAAATGCTTTTTAAACACAGGCTGGGCCAGTTGGCCAGTCTCCTAAGCTACAAAACAAATGTGAGAAGTTAAAAATTGTTAGGAGGCTGCCACGAATGGCTCGGCAATAAGAAAAACATCTCCCCACCCCCATAAAATGCATTCAAAGACTTTGCAAAAGTAACGGGCGGGGTTATGGGAAGACAGTTGTATAAATTCCCCACGTAGGAGAATTTTCAAATACAAGATTTTGAAACTCCCTCATAACACCGAAGTCCAACAGGGTTTGGGTTTTTGACACACTGGACATTTTTCTTACAAGAGGCGATCAGTCGGGACGAGGGTCCCACGGAGAATAAACAAGGCTTCTGAGGGCCTCACAAAATGCCCAAATCTCCCCACAAACGGTCATGGGGCAGCGCTGCACGGACGGAAGCGGGGTGCAGGAGACCACCTGCCACACGGGTAACCGGGAGTGGCCCGCAGCCCGACCCGGGTGGGACCAACTCCAAAGCCCAGGAAATAGGCTGAGGGGCAGGAAGAGGCGGCGGGGTGGGCAGGGCTGAGGAGCAGGGCCGCCAAACTTCTAAGTCCCCAAACCTCCCTCGGAGGCCTGTATCCGGGGACGACACCCTCGCTTCGCCTCATCCCATCAGACGGACACTTACTGAAAGACATTCCCCGGGTTATCCATCGCTGAAGGACGAGGGCCAACAGCAGGCCTAACAACGCTGGAACTAGCGCCGCCGATTCGAATCTCCCGCGCAGCCGCAGTGGCCGAGCCGAGCGTTGGGAAAGTGTCTGGCCATTGGCTTCCCAGGAAGGCAGGCCGACCAATCACAGGGGCCGTTGCCTGGAGCTCAAAGTCCCGTCCCCAGAACCCAGGAAGTCCCTCCATTTCCGGTAGCCTCGGATTTCAAAGGGACTTGGTGGCGGAGCTGAGAGCTTGGTGGCATCCTAAAAGGACGCAAAGGTGGCGCAGCTGCTTTGCTGTGAGGGACGCTGACTTCCCGCAGATGTAGGGAATTTTTATTTTAATTCTCCAAGTTGTAACTGTGACTGAGACTTCATCCCACGGAAGGCATCGCTGGACCCGAGGTTCCTGACAGGAAAAATTGCCTCAGCCTTTGGGTGCCGACTGTCGCGTCTCTCCGTCCCCTTTAGTTTAAATATATGAATCGCAGTCGTTGTGTGTGACTTACAGAACGAAGGAAAAGAATCCTGTCCGCAGGGCCGGGACTGTCACAGTTAAGGTCGAAGGGCGAGTGATGCGCCTGCGTCTGGCTTAGGGGATTTGGGGGCACCGAGAGAAACGCAGCCTGCGGCCACCTCCCTATCTCTGACAGTTTATTAATCAGCGTCCTGGGCTGTTAGAAAAGAACCCATATGTTAATGTCAGTGGAGTCTTAGTTCTAGACTCGTAAAATGCCGAGGCAAAGAAGGAGTGGTTGGCTGGCAACCCACAGGAAAAACTAAGCGATTTTTGCCTTAATGACTGCAAAATGAAGCGCTTTAGAGTTGGTTCCTTTACTTATACGTGGCCTATACTTACACATGAAGGTCATGAATAGGGACCCTTGTAAATTTCTGGACTTAAACTAGCTTATCTCAAAGGCTCCAGGTAACTGAAACAAGAACAGAAGCGTTCGAGTGGACTGTACAATTCCGGAGAGAAAGTTTTCAGCATCTTTGATACGACAAGGCATCTCTGTGAGACCAACTTCTTAGGAATTATAAAATCCTATAAAGTCCAGAAATACAGATTGTGTTAATATGCCCTAATGAAGAGCACGTTGGAAAAGAGTTAATCTAGCCTTCACGTGCCCCTTGGGGTGTAATAACTGCTGCTCTACCTCTCCAGTTGTTTCAGGGGCCACTTGACAATGCAAGAGAAATATAAAGCACTGTCCTGATTGCCTCCTTTTTGAAATAAGTGCAGTGGATATTTCAGCTTCCTTAGGCCTCTTTATTTTTTTATCTTTTGTACCAGGAATCAAACTCATGACCTTGAGCTTGCCAGGCAAACACACACACCACCACCGAACTAATCCCCAACAGGCCTTTTAAATTCAAAAAAATAAAACTTTAGTAGCGCCAGAGACAGAATTTCTTCTGGCATGCTGATCTCTCTGGATATACACAAATATCCAGTTCGTATGGTTTATTACTGAGAGACTGCTCATTCTGAGTCTTTAGACAAATTCTTTAGACTCATTCTAGTCTTTAGACCAATACTAGATGCTGCCTACCCTTATAGGAACTAAACATTTTTGGCTTCACTAACTCATTTTCAGCTGTGTCTGATGGTGAGTCCATCGATAATTAGGAAATATTGATTGAGCAACCATCACAAACTAGGTGCTGTTGGACTTATATCTGATTACAACGGAACTTGTTCTTAAGAAACTATTGATTTCATCGAGGATGTGAAGATACAGAATCAGAAAACTTTAAAAGTAGAATATGTGTATTTTGAGAGCCAAATGAGAGTTCGCCCCTTCTCCAAAAAGGGAAAGGTAATGGGACACATCTTCATAGGGAAGGTGGGGTTAGTAATAGGAAAGGTCATTCCAGGGATAAATGAGGATTACAGAGGGAGATCATTTTTGTGGACACTTATTCCTTAATGAGGAATAATGATTTTTGTGTATTTGAAAGACTGGTTTAACATTGGATATAAAATCTTGAGTTTATACTTGCTCATCTTAGTAACTGGTTCTTTCTGAAATAAGCATGTGGTTGTAAAGACCTATTGCTAGTTTTGCTTAACTCTGCCTTGTTTCCTAAAAGGCACAGAATTGTCTGCCTCCTCGCTCCCTCACTTCTGCTATTGGAGGTTCCTCTCTTACAGGGCTTGTTAATTTTAAGGTATTCCGGAGGCTCTTTCATATTACCCCTTTTTTTTAAAGGGTGATCCCTCTAAACCTGAGTGCCAATTCATGTAAGTGTATTTAGGAATAATAGGAATAAAATATTAAGGTTGTCAGCAGTGATTAGAAATTGACATTTTTCTAGGAATAATTTCCTACCTTACTAAGTGACTTTCTTTAGTTTTTATCTAGGGATGTCTCTGCCATAGTTGCCTCTGTCATTATTCTTATTTTGAGGAGGAATTAAAATGATCCTCTCCACAATGTGTTCATCTTAATGTCCTTCTTAGCTTGATTAACTTGGTGGTGTCCAGGATTTATTGAGAACAAGGGAAGAGATAGGCAGAAGACAGTAATTCTCAGATGACACTGGCATTGGAGACAGAATGGTACATAAGGAGGAGATCAAATTTCATGGGAAAAGAGTTTTCAACATAATGATAGCTTCAATGTGTAAGAACAAGACTCAGAGATTATTTTGGGGCCTTGGAGAATTGACAGAAATAGTCCATTGAAGTTGGAGAAGGCTATACCTTTGCTTTTAAATGTGATTGGTTGGAGTGGTGTAATGATTAATCTTGGTTGTCAGCTTGTTCAGGTTGAGAGATACCCAGCACATTGACGACTACACCTCTGAGAATATCTGTCTGTGAAGGTTCTGGCAGAGACACCCCCCCCCAAATGTTTGTAGCATGTCCAGTAGGCTGGGGAGTGGAGCAAATGTAAAAAAAATGTGAAAGTGAGAAGCTTACATTGTACTTGTGGTCACTTCGTGCTTGTTGAATGTGTTCTCTTTTTTTCCTGCTACCATCACCAGCACACTTCAGATTCCATAATCTTTAGTCTCTGACCATGAACCTTCACCAGCAGTTCTCTAGGAAGTTTCCATGCCTTTAGCCTCTGATTGGGGCTGTATTAAACTTCCTTTTCCTGAGACTTATAGCTTCTTGCCTGAATACATACAGGTTTTCCAACATCTCTGTCCTTCAAACTACCATTGTGAGACCACCTATGTCCTCTCCAGCCTCTGACTGTGTAAGGCAATCTAATAAATCTCCTCTTACACTTACATACACTCCCTTGTTAGTTCTGTTTCTCTGGCGAACCCTAATCAACAGGTTACCAGGCATTTGTTCTCTTACACAGCAAGTCTAAGTCATGGGAGAAAGACAGAGATAGAGCTTATTGAAAGACATTTCATATGCTGTTTCCTAAGACTAGAGTTATCTTTTCTCTAAGAGTTTTATATTTTATGTGCCAGGAATAAATGCAGAGCCTTCAAACAGCTTGAAGGAAATCTGTAAACTCTGAAATACTGGCAATTTCTGGAAATCTATATAAGCAGAAAATACTAAAGGACTGGCAGAGGTAATGTTCATTTAAAAGAAAAAGTTACTTGTGGAACTTAATGCCACTGATAGCATTCCACCTTCCAGTAATTCAGTCCGTTGCCTTCCTTTATCTCCTTTTATCCTTTTTCCTCAGACTTGGGTTGAGAATGCAGCAAACTGTCCTAGAAATATCTGAGTCTGTTAAATAATAACCCTCACTTCATTAATCAGTCTCCTTTATTTTGTTTCATTTTATTTTTGGCACTGAAAATTGAACTTGTAACCTTGTGCTTGTCAGGCAGGCACTGTGCCACTGAGCTATATCTCTGGCCCCTCTCCCTTTCTTTTGACATTGCCCTTGCCTTAGTTCATTTGTAAACTTATCAAACCCACCCCAAAGAGTAAAAGGGAGATTTGGTTTGACCTGCAAGAGAGCAGCAGACCTGCTGTGTCCAATGCATGCAACTTTTGTAAATCGCATGCAGAAATGTGCTGCTGCAGCTGTCTTTTCCTATAAAACTGTAGTTCACCTGGTAAGCTGATGCAATTTTAAATTTCCATTCTATCAAAAATGATTCTATTAGGTTTCTCTAAATTATTAGGAAGATCAACAAGTAAAGCATTTGTATTTGTACATGGCCTTTTGGTGATTTCACATTTCAACATAATTTCCACACTTCCTGAGAAGGGAAAAACAGGCCACCTCCCCCAGACAGAAAGAAGGCAAATGATCTAAAATCTTAGTATAGGTGACATTTCTTTCTGGGAAATGAAAAAAGAAATCTGTCTCTTGTCTTCATAATGTTTTTCTGACTTTCTCCTGTAACCTTATAGGCTTTTCCGCTTAATTCTGATCTGTCTTGGTTTGTCACTTGCTATCAAAGTTAGTGCAAGGGGCTGGGGATTTAGCTCACTGGCGTTAGCACTTGCCTGGCAAGCACTAGGTCATAAGTTTGATCCCTAGTACCAAACAAAAACAACAACAACAAAACAAAGTAGTGCAATGTTTAGAAAAGGAAATAGATGGTACTGATGTGATCTAAACAAATAATCACAGATACACCATTCATTTCTTTTTTCTGAAAACAGATCAATTTAACTCAGCAGTATTAGAGTTGTGGCCAGTCATGCTTGACACAACATAGAAGATTAGAGAGTCATAATAGTTACAGAAAGCCGAGGAGCAATTTAGAGGACTATCAAATATTATGATATGAAGAAAAAGAGATAAAGGCCTGGTGTGGTGCTGCGCACTTGGAATGCTAGAAGTCAGAGATGGACACAGAATTGTGAGTTTGAGACCAACATGGGCAAATTAGTGCCTTAGTGAAGCACTGTACCAATACAAAAACTAAAGAGCTGAGGACATAGCTGAGTGTGACAGCCCTGGGTTTAAACCCCAGTTCTGGAAGAAAGTAAAGAAATATCGCTCCATTGATTTTTTTGCCATTATTTGAGAGATATCTTTTAAAAAGTAAAAAATGACATAATTAACATTTACACTTGGATTTTAAGTTACACAAACATCAGACATCTTTTAGAATAAAAGACTGACTGACAAGTTGGGAGAGAAATAGCAAATATAAACTTTTAAAAACATCACATCAATGTAATATCACTGCCATCAATATTACTAGTCTTTATTTTACTAATATATGCTGTCAAGGAACTTAAGATGAGCTTTCATATTTCAGACTTACCTGAGTTCAATAGACAATTCTCCAAAGATACCCAAATGGACAGTGTGCATATGAAAGATGCTGAACATCATTTGTTACCAAGTAAATACAAGTCAAAAGCACAGTGAGATTATACTTTGTATCACCATGATGGCTATAATCAAAAAGTCAGATGATATTAAGTGTTGGCAAGCTTTATTCATTTTTTGCTTTGTTTTGATTTTTATCTGAGTCATAACTTCTGAAGATGCCAATGGGATCAAAGCCTAACATCTACCCATTGTCACCACAACCTGGGAGGAAGAATGGAGGTGGCCAGAACAGGGAGCCATGGGTCCCAGCTTCCTGTTTCCCAACCACATTTGATACAGCGTGCAGTGCATTCTGCCATTCTGGTGTTTGTGTAAGAGACTTGTGCCAGTTAATCTAAACTGTCAACTTGACTGAGTTAGGAGATTCCTAGAGAGGTGATTAGATCACGAGGGTGTTCTAGCTGGCTGCTGTTGGAGAAGGTGTGTCATTGGAGTACACCTTTAGAGGATCTCTCTCTCTTTCCCTCTCTCTCTCTCTGTCACTTTTCACCTGTGCTCTGCTTCCTGACTGCCATAAGTGAGCACCTTGGCTTCTCCATACCCTTCTGCCGTGATATTCCTGCCTTTGAGCTGGCCAGCCATGAACTGAGACATCTGAAACTGTGTGCCAAATTAAAGCTCTCCTCCTCTGAGTTGCATGTGTCAGGTGCTTGGTCCTAGCAATAGTAAAGCTGACTAAGAGAGGACCCAAGTGATGCCATGTTATGTGTATTTTGGGCATGATGGTAGAGATTCCTTTTTCCTGGGAGTGCTAAAAGCTTCTGGTCACAAGAAACTAGAGACAAAGTTGCGGTTGTGCTGAATGATTTTGGTGCTAGTCTTTTGTGTGTTCCTGTCTGGAGAGTTGTCTTTTCTAGAAGTAATGTTAATGGATACACATTAATTTAACATGGCTGCTCATCCTCTGCCAGCATTTACCTAAATGTATCTTTGTTATATTTGCCTTTCTGCCTTGCTTGCTGCTATTGCAGTTACTGATGCTCGTATTTGTTTTGTATTTTCATCTTGTATCCCTTTGACTTTGTATTCCCTTGAATTTTGCATATTCATGTACAATGTTTTACTTTAGTATGAGATACTTCTTTTTCCTAATAAACCTATTTGCCTTTGCATTAGTTGCTCCTTGCATTTCTGTGCTGCATTAGTCTGCACCAGGCTGTTTCCTTCAGATGCTGTGATTGCTAGGCAATGCTCTGTTTCTGCTTCTCTTTTAGATATGTTTTAAGATTTCTGATTTTCTAAGGGGATTCCAAGATGTTGAGTAATTGCTTCTGTTTGTTTGGTTTTTTATTTTAAAGGGAAAAAAATCCCAGAAACAACAAGAAGCCAGCAAGCAAACAAAACAACAAAAGCAAAATAACAACAACAGAAAAAAATAACAATAACTATATAAGTTTTGAAAGCAAGATGATAAAAATTTAATGGTGGTTATATTGCATATTTTTATCTTCAAAATAGTTGCTCTGGTTACAGATATAGCAATAAAAAAACACTAAAATGAAACAAAACATTGGATTTCAAAAACAAGACAGAAGGAAATTCCC